CGCTATACTGAGAGTTACCATGTGCTCACTAGCGACTAGTTTCGAGAGGTAATTCTCGGAGTTCTAGTGAAAAACCGTGACCAGGTGTGTGAAGCAGTCACCCACCGAAAACAATGGGAGATGGTTACACAACATCGTGGATTGGTTGAAGTTAGAAATTAAAGAAGTTGGATCCTGGCTCAGCGGTCTAGAGGTTAGACGTTCTCATGTAAGACAATAGATCGTTGGCTTGAGTCACATGTGAGGGGTAGTGAATGCGCACTGCTGAGAATAAAACGATCGTTTAGTGTATCTAGGAATTGGATGATGGTCTAACACTGATAGGATCATGGTTACAGTGAATTACTGAGATAACCATACCTACTACTTTGACACAAAATTAGAATAGAAATATCTATTCATTGTATTTGGAATCTCGTGATTACTTTAAACTGATGTAGAAATATTGGAATATATTATGCAACAATTACAGTAATAATAGCAGTAATAACAGTAGTACCAATAATAATATGGTGGATTTTCAGCTAGTTTAACAGACATTAGTTACAATGATGTTCGGTGACAGTAATAACAAGAATTGTCAGTACCTGAGATTAGGTTAGTTAAAAACCAAAGCATTTTGTTACGTAATTGAAAGTATATAACATATTGATGATAATATTATTACAAATCATGTTCATCACTAAACTAGAAGTTGTGTGTTTGAATCTATTTGATGAAATGGCTGTGCACTGTAGGATAGTTATATGTTAAGACGAAACTTTCGTTCAGTCCACTTTGGTTTCTGGTGTTTCCTAAAATATCGATTGTCATATTAATAGTTATGAAGACGAACTAAAGACTGAATCAACTCACTTAAAAAGTTTTTTTCAAGGAAATATTTGAATAAATCATTATTACATCGAAGAAAGGCATAGAAAACCAGAGAATATTAGATAAATATTTCAGTATTGTTCATTTTAGGATGGGACTACAGAACTCCGTAATTTATTAATATTTATTAGTGGAAGCAGCCTAATCTATTCATCTTGAAGAGAGCAAGAACGAAAATTGGTACAGAATAATATAAATTCAGAAGGGGGTTTTTATTGATTTAATAGTTGAATTTGGGAGTCACCACCATGGAACACCTGAGAGCACTGGACAGCCGTTTCGTCCTAGTATGGGACTCCTCAGCAGTGCGCATCCACGATCCCGCCGCGCGGAATTCGAAGAACCTATCGGTCTCGCACGCGAACGTTTAATCTCGAGACCACTAAACTGACATCCAACGGTTTTAATCTCTATCTACGAAATTTTATTTCGTTAGATTCTCATCAGCTGCTTACAACCTATTGTATTTAAAATCAACGTTATTACAGATATTGACATACTAATACATACGAGAGCGATTAAAGATATGTGTATCATGATGTAACGAAAATTCCAATCGAGTTAATAAGGTCATCATAAATTTTGTTCCGAATAAATATTTTTGAGAGGGAAAGCTCCAAAACATTGAAATAGCGATTAGAACTTGTGGAGTTTGCAAACATGAGATGATTGTGTAGTGAAATGACTGAAAACATTATTGGTAATAAAGGATATGAATTGGAATCAGTCAGCTATGAATTGAAGAAAAAATGATAATGATGTAATTAAACTTTAGAAAGAGTTAAAATAATGAGCAATGTAATATGTAAAAAAGGCATAATGTTACAAGGGTAAAGAAAGAGTTATTACTCCCTCTTTTTGTATACATAGACCTGGTTTCAGACGTCTTGATAATAAAGACAATTATGTGTATGAAATAGTCTATTTATATTGCTAATTATATACATAGATTAAGCCATTGATTGGTTAGTATGAAGTATTACCCACTCCAACGAATTCAAATTCTACTATTGACTGATAAGTAAATCATACACAACTCTGTGTACTTTTCCATAGTTTTAAATCAGTGATTGACCCATTTTTGATGTATAACAAAATCTTCGTTTGTATTCTTGTCTTTTTGACGGTACCAAATCATATTATTCTTTGTTTGTGTCATGTCTGATCGGAGAATTCATGAATGATAATTGATAGGAATTATTGATGGACTATTATTACATATATTCTCATCGGGTAATTATTAAGTAACTAGATTATATATCAGAAGGGGTTTTGTGGATATCATGAGTCAATTGAAACTAAACCACCATGGAAAACCTAAAAGCACTGGACGGCCGTTTCGTCCTAGATTATGCTTATTCATATTCTTGTTATCTCAAGGTTTCAGTTTGCATATTGGCCACTGTCATATGATTTACAATCCCAATTTATTGGTTAGTCTGCCATACTCATAGCCACTTTGGGCTTGATCTTGTATAATTATTATTTTCCATTTCAGTGTGATGAGGTTTGGTCTGCTTGTATATAAACCATGTATGTCTGAAATATACTTTTTATATAGTGGGGACTAATATTTGTGTTCTGGACTGAATAGGCTAGGTTAGACGAGAAGCTACTATACAGAAGATCAATAAGGACTCAGAGTTGACTCAAGGCCACTAGTGTTGTTTTGACGCATCATTGGTTCAACATAGGGACAAGGTCACGAAAATTGGCGATCTTTTAGCGTGATATTTGGCGGGCCATAGGACACAACAAGTATCTGGAATATCATTTAACCATAACCTTCATTCAATATTTAAGCTTATTTTTATGTTTTAAAGTAGCTAGGATGCGTTTAGGTGAAAATTACTTAGTTCGTTGACGAGATCAGTAATCGCTGCTTTGTTATCACACAATCTAACAGCTGATCAGTATATCTTAACTTAAAACGATTTTAACAAACGGAGAATACTTTTTTGATTTTAACTATCAAGTGCCCGAAATTCCACAAACTCCTACAAGGATGTTATAACTTACACAATGTCCACTGGTAATGAAATCAATAAACTTAGACTACGTGAATTGGTGATAATCTGACAGGATTATTTTTTTTTGACGGACTCAAAAGAACTCCAAGTAAACTGATCAAAGGAAGAATTGAAAAGCACCATCAAGGACAACCGAGATCTAATAGACCTGTTCCTCAAGATTCTGAGACAGGCCAAAATTGCATAAACAAGAGACATCTCTAAAATAGATTGCGTCGCTAACAGGGACTCCAACCTGAAATTCATTTAAGGAACTCGACAGGATATCAAACCATTTGATACAATCATAGGATCATTACATTAGCACTTTATGATGATGTTTAAACAATATCAAAAAACCTACAATTGGATAATGGCACAGTCGTGATCCATTTAGAAAAGTCACGAGCGAAATCAACTCAAAGACAATCAAGTGTTGATTATTAACATTATCGAAAACATCAAGTTTAACAGTAGAAGAATAACCAAACAAAATTCTGCTCCTGTAATAAATAAACTTTATAAATACAGGTACTTACGAAACAAAGCCAAGCAGACCAAATAATGGGTTACATTAGTAACAACCCGACAGATCGCAAAAATAGTTTTGCATAGACACTTTTAGAACAGCTAAAACTAATTACAGCGCTCTCACAACACAAAAAAATTGGAGGAACCTATTTCTCGTCCACCCACAGACAAAATGGCTATCCTACTAACTTTATCAAAAGTTGTCTAGCAAGTTGACGCATCATCTCGAAATCTCCATCAAAGTCAAATCATGATATCATTTTAGAAAAAGAATTTCTGGAATCACAAGGATTCAGAATGTAAGCCTTTCAAAAGCCAATACAAGGCCGAAGGATACCAGGCGTAAGAGAAAGGCAATACCAACTGCACTGGGCATTACAGTGGACAAAGTGGTAGCCTCTTTCATCTTCGAACTAGCAACAAAACATATGTTATTCAAATCAGTGTACGCAAGCAACTACGTACACGAACTAGGTTGCGAAAATGTCAAAATTGTGGACTGAGAATTTCTCGAATCAATAGGGTTTATCAACATAGACATTAGTTGCCAATCTGTAGGATCAGTCAACCACATGGTCAGAGGTCAACCGAACACGAAAATAGAAATGAGTACTGAGACAGATGAAGCCAACAAAACCTGTGAGGACTAGTTACAGACCAGATAATCAGAAAAAGTTGATTTAGCCTTTGTGAAAGAACTAAGTAGGTCACTTGTATGTAAATTAAGCCTTAGCGGTGTTATTCGAAACAGGAATGAAAGCTTCGTAATTAAAGCACTCAACTCAGAGAACAATACGCACTTAGAAGACAGTCACTTATAACTATAAATCACAAGTAATCATTTCCAAATTTTAGGTTTGTACTTTTTACATTAAGCAAAATTTATGGAGAAGCCAACTCCGCCTTGAGCCCCTCCGGGGGTTACTGCCGATCTCAAGCCCGGATAGAGGAGGAGGGCTGGGCATGGGGTTAGCAACCCCATCCCGTAGAAAACCAACTCTCTAAAGAACGCTAACCATGGAGAAACCGGTATTCTGAATGCTTTTATAATTTTGTATCTACCTTCATAGTATGAAAGGTTAATGATCAATGGATATTTCAACTGTAGCAGTTTAATTCAAAACAAGTATTCAGTAAATGATGTAATGTAAACATTTATCCCCAAGGGTTAGTGCTATCGCGTTGTTGATATTATGGATTAAAATTTAACCAATCTCTGTCGAAATATGAGCATCTTGAGTGAATTTCACAATATTGTCATTTCAATACAGTTTATGTGTTAGATTCATGTTACTTATGTATGTATAGGTGAGCTATGTAATGTTATTACAAAATTCAATCCAAGATGTCTGTATTATTTTATTAAACATCAAACCTATATTGCGAAACTTCTATAAGGACTGAAGATATGACAGACCATTATTTCCACTTCCCTCAATATCATGTAGTTTTATTGTGAAGTAAGAAAAAGTTAAGTCATTTGATAAATATTATGTTGTATTTCACTAAAACAATAAACAAATAAATCGAAGCATAAAATGCCAACTAGTAAATTGTGATAATTGTGTTAGTTAACCTTTTACGAAATTACTTGTTTTCGGTTGAAATATTCCAATTTTGATCATGTAAACCATATTGTGAAGCCAAATGATCAACTAGATTTTGACTTGGTAAATTAACTAACCATAATAATAATTGTTTGCGTAGATTTAATTCTGAATCATCTGATTTACTGGATAAATAACTGATCTGGACATATAATTAATAATAACAAAGAAGGTAAAGGATACTTATTTTTAAAAAAGTATCATATGAAATGTTATAGATTAAATAAAAGACTGATTTCAGTTAAATAACCAACGAAAGTCAAGAAAAAATCTTCAACTGTCTTAACCTAGTATGGGTTTACTCAGTAGTGCGGGCCCACGACCCTACTGAGGGTTGAAATCAGGGACTTTAGGTTTCGTGGTGAGCACTTAACCTTTAGACCACCGAGCAAGAATCCAATAGTTTACATGTTTAACTTCAATTAATTTGCGATATTGTGTGACCAACTACTAATATCAGAGATAGTTAAGAGGCCTACACTTGATTAAACTCCACTGATTAAGGTTTCTCACTAAAACTCCAGGAATTACCCATAGAAACCAGTTACTAGTGACTATAGGGTTACTGTGATTATACGGGGTTTATGGATAAGATTTTTCAATTTGGTATCTGTATAATCCTCACAGATCGTTCTCTCTCCATATATATCAAAAACGTTATTCCGAGGGCCGAGCGGAAGGTTTACTTACCAAATTTATTTCACTGGATTATACTCTTTAAATAACATCTTCAAACCCTAATCTTTCCGATTACTGCTTATATTTTTACTACCTCTACCATTATGGGATTTGAATCGACAATTGTATCTCTGTGCTAATGTGGTATGGCAACTTGAACTGATGTAAGTACGTACGAAGTTCTACGTCGTTACTGACTGACTGAATAATTACCTCAGTTCGTTTAGCAAACTCTAAACAAAATGAAGTCATAATATCCTAATATCCCTAACCACGACATGTATTTGAGAGTGTTCAGACATAAAATATGCAAATTTGATCCTTAAAGTATCAGACAGATGTTTATCAATAACATAAGATTTTCAGTGGTTTATGGATTGTATTACTCAGGACTTATAGATGTTACTACATACTCAATACCCTGAGGTAAACAACGGAGGAACAACATAGGAATTAGTAAAAATGTACATCAGTTCGACTTGCCACACTTTATATTGATAAACTAAGGACATCGATGAATGGTTGGAAATCAAGTGTTCGAACCTCTAAAGCACTGTTCCATTTTTGCACACATCCGAACCTTTAACCAATCTTACAGGAGAACATGACAATCTCCTAAGCCGATAGAAAAACGGAGATCTGACCTGTGTCACAGATCGACTAAGTGTTTAAACGCTAAACGAAACCATTGTGTTTGTGGCCACGTCACATCAACCACCAACTTATGAGGGTCAATAGGACCTGAAAGCGGGATGATGAATGTGTCCAGCTATTTTACTTTATAGTAAAACCAGCTACCGAATTCAACTAGTCCTGAAGCGAAATTTTAAAAATAAGAATGAAAAAAAGATGTAGTAAGGATCCGAGAATTGTCACAAAATGTTAACAAAACTCAAACAAAAATAAGTTCAGTGATGAACCTATTTTTTAAGTGCATGCAATCCGTGTCGTGATGCATTCTGATATCTTATCCTTTTACCAAACAGTTTTTCCCATACTAGATCCGATTTATAGAATCAATGAGTGTTGGATTGATACTTACAAATTTTGGAACACTGAACATTTTTCTAGCTGTAGGTACTCCCAACAAATTAGTTATGAGCTGCAAAGAGAAAATACAAAGATAAACAACAGCCTATAAACAAAAGGACACTCAAAAGAAATGATCTCTTGGTGGTAGATTTCATAAACTGATATCATCTGAAGAATTATTGAGAAGTCGGAAAGCACAACAGAACTAGTTCGTGTCGATTGCATAATTCCAAGTGGTGCACTTTAACTTTTCTTAAGATTGACCCCATAATCAAGACGAAAACCTGTAGAAACAAGCCATTTCTTCATGGTCCCTATCAGTCAGTCAGTAACAACGTAGAACTTCGTACATACGTAAATCAGTTCGAGTTGCCACACCACATTAGCGCAGAGATGCAGTTGTCGATCCAAACCCCGTAGTGGTAGAGGCGGTAAGAGTATAAGCAGTAATCGGAAAGATTAGGGTTTGAATAGTATAATCCAGTGAAATAAATTTGGAAAGAGAAAAAGATACAAGGAGGATTCAGGGAATTAGAATTTGGGGGAACACAAAAAGTGGATGCACCTGCGACATTGCAAACGATTTTGAGCCGTGTCATTCAGGGTCCCTAACCATCGGTTGCTATCATCTCGCGGTCCCCAACCAGGTAGTCCACACCAACCAACATGGCTCAGTCCACTTGTCAGTGACTTCATGGACTTGTGCCATGTTTTGGTCTGGCCGCCCCTAGCTTTCTTCCAACCTACTCCTATACCACTGAGCATCCATGGTCCCTATAATGTTATTTAAGAACATATGTAAAGGTTTGTTGGTGAAGAAGTAAATTACTTGATATTGATCCCATGTAAGTATCAACTAATTTTTAACTATTTAAATTTGTCCTGCCATGTGCACAATAATATTGATAGTCCTGGAAGATTCACCTGAAGATTCAAATAAATTCCATTTCAAACATGTTAGATGATAAAATGAATATGTACTTTCTACACACACAATGTAACTCCGCCTGTATCTCTTCTAGGGCTACTGCCGGTTCCAAGGCCAGGTAAAGGAGGATGGTTGGATATGGGGTCGGCAAGCCCATCCTGTAAAAAAACTTTGCTGAAAAAACGCTAACCAGAATAAACAATTTAAACGGATTTAAACTCTGTCCTGGAAGTTGAAGGAAAAATTATGACGCCTCAGGATGAAAGCCGGACTCTTCTGAAGTTACGAAGACAGTGCTTCTCCTAACAACCAAAGCAACAATTTTTATGGATATATGGAACGTCTGGACAATGTGGGAGACCAGGATGACCAGTCAAATAGCAAAGGGAATGAGATAAAAGTTGGCATTACTCGGAATCAGTGAAACTCATTGGCCCCATTCTGTACTCTGGCCACGAAAAAATAAATGCTCCATACACTCAAGACGTTGTCCCAATGCTGTCCAAAGAAGCGAGAAATGCACTTATTGGGTGAGAATCTCATGGATCCAGGATCATCAAAGCACCCTTCAAAACAAAGGACGAAATCACAATGAATGTTATCAAATGTTATGCACCCATCAATCACAGAAACGACGACGATAAAGATCAGTTTTACGAGAGGCTGCAATCAATCATAGCGAAGTGCTTGGGAAACGACCTGACAATCCTGATGGGAAACCTAAACTCCAAAGTCAGAATGGACAATACCGGGTATGAAGATATCATGGAACGACATGGACTGGGAGAAAGAAACGAGAATGGGAAGGGATTTTCAAATATATGTGTAATCAACAAATTGATTATAGGCGGAACAATATTTCCACACAAACGCATACACAAAGCTACATGGGTCTCATCGCACCACACTATGAAGAACCGGATAAATCATATTTGCATCAGTAAAAAATTCACAAGGTCAATGGAAGACGTGAGAATCAGGAAAGGAGCTGAAATAGCTTCAGATCACCATCAACTGGTGGTTGTCAAGATGAAACTGAAACTAAAAAGATACTGGACAAACAGCATTACAAAGGTTCAACACAGTCTTCCTTCGAGATACTGACAACTCAAGGTGACTCTCAACAACAGGTTCCAGGTCTTACAGGATCTACTGAAAGAAGAAATTACTATGGAGGACAACTGAAAACGGATCAGAGAAGCACTAGCTTCAACGTGTCACGAGGTTTGGGCTGCAACTAGCTTAATCATCAAAAATGGATCTCTATCGAAACCCTCGACAAGATTTAAGAAAGGAGGAACAAGAAGACAGCAATTAAAGACAACAGAGAAAATCAAGGTACAAACTGAACACACTGAAGCAAACAAGTGAAGAGGAGCAATAGAGCTGACAAGCAGAAATACGTGGAAGACCTAGCAACGACAGTGGAAAAAGCTGTAAGAGAAGGAAAAATGGTGTAACTGTATGATGCGAAGAAAACACTAACAGGGAAATATGGTAAACCAGCGAGACCGGTCAAGGACAAAGAGGGGAGAACAATCACTGAAATACAACAGCAGAGAGAGATAGGTAGAATACTTCGAGGAACTCTTGAATAGGCCAGCCTCATTGAATCCACCGGATATCCAAGCAACACCTACAGACCTTCCTGTAGATACCATTACACTAACAATCGAAGAGATCACGATGGCCATCAAATAAACCAAGAGTGGGTAGGAAGCAGGACCAGACAACACACCAACCTGATGCAATGAAGTCAGTTATGTGAATAGCTTCAAAAATGATGCAAATTCTATTCTGGGAGGAGGGACAGGTGCTGACGGATTGGAAAGAAGGACACCTCATCAAGAAACCAAAGAAAGGAGATCTGAGCAAATACGAGAACTACAAAGGCATCACACTACTATTAATACCAGGAAAAGTTTCCAGCAGAGTGTTGCTTAACCGGATGAGACACAGTAGACACTGAACTTCAGGATCAATAGGCTGGATTTCCTAAAGATCGGTCGTGCACAGACCAAATTGCGACGCTGCGGATCATCGTTGAACAATCAGTTGAGTGGAACTCACCACTATACATCGACTTCATTGACTATGAGGCGTTTGATGGTGTAAATAGGAGAACATTATGGAAACTTCTTCGACACTATGGAGTACCTAGGAAAATAGTCATCAAAGTGGTGCATAGAGGACAGCTGACAAACGCATTACGAGTAAGAACCAGAGTCAGACAAAGTTGCTTAATCTCTCTCTTTCCTTTTCTTCTGGTGGTCGATTGGATTATGAAGACCTCCAAATATGACGGGAAGCATGGAATAAAATGGACAAGTTGGATGCAACTGGACGATTTGGACTTCGCAGATCACCTGGCTCTTTTATCACATACACACCAACAAATCCAGATGAAGACGACCACTGTAGCAGCAGCCTCTGTATCAGTAGGCCTCCACATACACAGAGGAAAAAATAAGCTCCTCAAATTTAACACAGAGAACACCAACCCGATCACACTTGATGGAGAAGCTCTGGAAGATGTGGAACCTTTCACGTATCTGGGTAGCAACATTGGTAAACAAGGAGGATTTGATGTAGATGTAAAGGCAAGGATTAGCAAAGTAAAAACAACATTCCTACAACTGAAGAACATATGCAACTCAAAACAAATCCCAGTCAACATCAAAGTCAGAACATTCAATACGAACGTCAAGACAGTTAGTTCTGTTGTATGGAGCTGAAAATTGGAGAACTACTACAACCATCATCGAAGAGTACAGGTATTTTTAGACAATCGTCTACGCAACATACTGAATGTTCGTTGGCCGGATACCATCAGTAACAACCTACTATGGGAGAGAATAAACCAACTTTCAGTTGAAGAAGAAATTAGGAAAAGGTGTTGGAAGTGGATAGGATATACATTGAGGAAATCACCAGAATGCATCACAAAGCAAGCGCTAACTTGGAATCCTGATGGGGAATGGAAAAGAAGGAGGCCAAAGAACACACTGCGCCGAGAAGTGGAAGCAGACATAAAAATGATGAATAGCAACTGGAAAAGACTATCCAGGACAGAATTGGATGGAGAATGCTGGCGAGCGGCCTGTGCTCCTCCATGAAGGGTAACAGGCGTAAGTAAGTAAATAAGAACATACACTGTAGCACACACGTCTTTTACAATAAATAGTTGAAATAAAGTATACACACATCCAATATACCAAATCATTTTTCTGTAAAATGTACCTGAAGTATTAGATTACTAAATTTTTTCGACTTTTGTAGTTGTAGAAGGAGTTGCTGAGACGAGTCCGCATATTCAAGAATAGCAATCCTTCCCCTCAAAGATTCTGAAATTCTAAACGAAATTATAAATGACTTGCAGGATAATTCTCTACCGTGTAAAATTTATAAGAAAGCAATTGAATAAAATTATGGATTGCATATAAACCTGTTGTGAAAATCATGATGAATGGCTTAGTTTATTTATATTATTTTCACAAACATAAATTGTACGACATTGAAATGGAAATTATATGATTTAATCAGGTTGTGAATGTATTGGTCACACTCTCACCCTTTAGTAAACATTAATTAAATATCCCATAAAAAGTAAGAATGGAGTTGTGTCTAGAAGAATATTTTCGAAAGTCAGTCAGTCAGCTACAACGTAGGACCAGGCACATATATGCATCGGTCCAGGTTGCCATACCGCATCAGCACAACAAGATGAACACCGGATTCATAGCAGTGGTTAGGTCAAAGGTGGTAATATATAAGAGAAAGATTGCATATAGAGATATAGTACAAGAAGAAAGAATTGGTTCGTAGAAAGAAAGGTATGAAGCAATTTTAATCTCTTAGTTTAAGGGAAGACAGGGAGTGTATACACCGATGCCATTGTGATCGATTCTGAGCCATGTCACCAAGAGTCTCCAACCATTGGTTATGAAAGTCACGCGGACCCCAACCACGTAGTCTGCATCTACCAACATGGCTCAGACTGGAAGTTAGTGACTTCAAGCACTGATGCCACGTTTTGGTTTGGCCGCCAATAACTTTCTTCCAACCATTTCCAATACCGGATAGCATTGCACGTCGTGGTAATCGGTGTTCAGGCATACGTAATACGTGGCCCAACCATCTCAGTCGATGAAGATTCATAACCTCATCAACTGATTTACCATCATTCCCTAATACCCTGCGTCTAACCTCACTATTACTTACCCGGTGATCCCAGCAGATGCCAGCAATATTTCTAAGGCATCTGTGGTCAAATATTAGTAGCTTACGGGTGTCTTCTACTCTTAAGGGCCATGTTTCGCTGCCGTAAATTAAAACAGAATGAACTGCCGCGCAGTATACTCGTCCTTTTATTGATAGACGGACATCTCGCCTTCGCCATAGGTGACGTAAGTTGGCAAAAGCCAAACGAGCTTTTCGAATCCGTGCTGAGATTTCGTCAGACACCAACCCATTAGGGCTGATCACACTTCCAAGATAAGTGAAGTTGTCAACGCGTTCGACTACTTCACTCCCTATCCTTAGTTCAGGTGTTAACGCAGACCAGTCCTGAAGCAACAACTTGCATTTAGAGGGAGAGAAGCGCATCCCAAACATTCTGGCATTGTTGCTTAGTGCTACCAGAAGACTCTGCATTTTGTCAGCGTCTTCACCAAACAGGACTATGTCATCTGCGTATTCTAAGTCGATAAGTGGACCTCCTGGAAGGAGATCAATACCCGAGAATTCAGTCGACGAGAGTGTTATTTCCATCAGTAGATCTATGATGAAGTTAAACAAAAATGGGGAAAGTGGACAGCCTTGACGGACACCACTTGAGGTTGCAAAAGAAGATGACAGTTCGCCATAAGCTCTGACTCGACTAGTAGTGTTCGAGTAAAGAGCCTTTACAAGGTTTATGTACTTCTGGGGTACGCCTTTTAATGACAGACACTGCCACAGAATCTCGCGGTCTACAGAGTCAAATGCTGCTTTTAATTCAAGAAAGACCACCATTGTCGGGCGCCGTTAAGTATGCCTGTGTTTTAGAACCTGACGAATGGTGAATATGTGGTCGATGCAGCCACGACCAGGTCTAAAGCCAGCTTGAGTCTCTCGTGTTTGCAGTTCACGAGTCTTAGTTAGGCGTCTGATAATTATCGAGGCTAGTATTTTAGATATTATATTAGTTAAACTAATCCCTCTATGGTTGTTACAGGATGATTTTGACCCTTTCTTATATATTGGGACGATAAGTGATTGTGACCAGTTAGATGGGATAACGTCTAACTCCCAGATCTTAGCTAAAATATTAGTCAACCTAATCGCTAAAATTGGACCACCATCCTTAAAGACCTCTGGAGCCAGTCCATCTGGACCAGCTGCCCTTCCTCATTTCAGACTAACTATAGCCTTTTGAACTTCTGCCAGAGCTGGGGGACCTACTTCAATGTTCCATTCACACTGTCTGGGAATGGAGGGTAGTTGTAGAGTAGCTGAAGGCCAGTTGAACTGTTCCCTAAAATGTTCCACCCATCGTTCTAAACGTCTGGACTGGGAGCAGATGAGAGTATCGTCTTTTTCCGATATAATCTCACTTACACTTGACTTATTAATTCCAGTTTCTTTTATTTGTTTGTAAAGCTGTCTTGTGTTCCCTATAGTCGCCGCCTTTTCCATCTCTTTTGCTTTCATTGCCCACCACTGCTCACGGTCGTTTCTTAGACTTTTTCTTAACCTAGATCTGATTTGTTGTCGCTCTTCATCATGTTCGGAACCTGATGGGACGAGTTTGCGAGAACCCATCAGTGTGATGGACTTTGAAGAAACCCACTGGTTCTTTGTAACTCTGTGGTTTAAGTCGCTAATAGATGTCACTGCTGTTTCCACAGCTGCTTGTATGTCTTTCCAAGCAACATCTGGGTCAGCCTCGTCTTCAGAACTACCTAGTTGTGAACTCAGTTGTTCCTGGAACCTATTTTTGGTTTTCTCGTTACTCAACTCAGTTCTAATGGGTCTTTTTAACGTGGCTTTTTTGCGTCCGGTGAGGCGCAAGCAGATGCGTGCCCGTATTAGGGCGTGGTCGGAGTCCAAGCAGGTACTCCAGAATGAGCGACAATCTTCTACCGACCCTCTCCAACGATGACTGATGGCAATATGGTCTATTTGAGTCCATCGTTGGTTTGATGTAAGGGGTCGCCATGTTAGACGATGTCTCTCCTTATGCTTAAAATTTGTGTTTGCTAAAAATAAGCGATTGTCTGAGCACAGTTGTAGCAGACGGTCACCATTGTCTGTTCGCTGTGCCGGAATGCTAAAATATCCACCTAAATGCCTTTCTGTTTGGTTTAAGCTACCTACCTGTCTGACATGGTAGGACCTTGAGGAACAGTTGTTCCAGCCAGTATAGCTCGGTTGCTTCATCACGATAGGCAAGCCCGACCACCACGTCAAGGTAGCAACAACGGTCGGGATATTTTCGAAAACGGTGTCTACATAAAACTAACTATTCATAATCAGTTGTTGGGTATTCAAACTTAGTAAAATTAGACGTTACGACGAGTCTTCCGAGTAATTTCAATATTAAAACACCTGTTGAAAGTAGCAAACAATACAGTCACAGTTCTGAATAACTCACTCTAAGTTACTTTTTAAACATTGATGTAACAACGACATTTAGACCGACTGGATTTAAGTGAGGTTAAGTAGTCAGATAATACACCAGAGAACTTAACAATAGCTCTCGTATGGAAATCCCAGCGAGAAAGTCACTTTCGTTGAAAATAGGACTATAAGTCTTGTTGTTATCAAAATGAAGATTCGAAATATAATGAGACAGTTATTGAAATGTTCTGTTTAGTTATATTTATATGTACGTGATACTTGGACAAACAAATTCATGTTAACAAATTGTCGTTTTAATATTTTAAGATATACCTAATACCTTTCTCATACACCCATTTTTGATGAGAAAGGTAATCTCAGGGGAGATGAAGTGAATTTGACAGCACCATTCCAAAAAAAACTAGTAAAATCAAGGAATATACAACACTAGTTTCCAGACAAAATTACTAGTACAAACAAAATAGCAAGTAAACATTTACAAAAATTACCTGATCAATAGATTTAAACAGTAAGGTTTCAAGACTTCTTCAGCTTTAAACAACAGATTGAGCGTAGCATCACAACCTTGCAACCTTAATATATTGCGCAATCCTTTCTCCTCCTGACTTGATAATTCAGAAGTTTAGTTTTAATAACACTAACGCTATCAATAGTAGTATTTTCAATGCTTCAAGTTTATATTCGTGTGTGAGTGATAAAGTCAAACAAGTGATGATTTTTTCGATAATAACTAATGGATATGTTTCATCGGATGCTTTCAGTAGATACAATAAATGAAATGCTTCCAAAAGCTTGATAGAATTGTTTTAAAGGGAAGCAAAGAGGTAGAAAAAATATGTAGAGGTAATATCACTGACAGAATATGCACAATAAGTCGAAAATAAAATAAACTAATGCTTACATTCTTACGCACGGGATATGTTGAGGACTTTTCGACGAGAAGCAAACCAAGTTCATCTAGAAAAAACAGAGAAGTATGATCGATCTCAATTTACGTATTGTCATTTTTCCATTAATTCCCCATGATTTTGCTATACTCGTAATTTTTTTAATATTTGTAGTTCTGTTTTTTTCAGCGAAGTTATTCTCGCTATCGTCTATCGATACTGTCATCATTCTGAAGTGTTCAGAAGATAGATGAAAAGAAATTACAAATATACTAAGCTAGAAAACAAAAATATAGAAATGGTAAATTTACTCCTAATTGGACAAATGAGACAATTTTGTAGTGTAGTTTCAATGTATTAACATAACACTTTATTGTGTAATTTTTTGTCATAAGGTGTATTTCGCAGTTAAGTTGTCGAAATAGTCCTCATTTATGAAGTTTACGCCAGAATTCCAAGGAATCATTTTGTTATATAACAGAAAAAAACGATTAGGATTGAAAAGTTTCTTAATAATAAACTGAAGCAGTAAGCATCTTTACTAAAACCTTTTACCAAAAAAATAATGAAAAGATATCAAGCGACTTGATGTGCATCTAAATGACACGAAAATAAATTGGCTGGAGAAAACTCGTTACTAGAACTTCGAAAACCCGAATTATATTCAAGACAGAATATTCCTTCATTTTGGATTTAAAATGAATTACTGGGAGATTCATGTTTTATAAGTGAATTTATTTATTAGGGTCATGGAAAACATTTTCCAAGAGCTCTATGACTAAAATGATCGAAGTGCCCGAAGCTTCGGCTAAGGAAATCAATACTGCGTTGACTGAACTCTAGTTTATCAATATTTCTGAACGCATACTCATTTTAAATAGATTTGGGACACCTAAATAGCAAGTTCGTTTGGGTGAATAATATAATTCGCATGTTTTTCAAGGGGACCAGTACTAAGTGAGGTATTATAAGGCTCCATTCTGGGTAATTTACTTTCTATACTTAGTATGAACGAACTCCCCAATAATATTTTGAGGTCATGACGACGAAGCTGGGTGAGAAGTAAAAGGAGATCTCGATCCATGTGTACTCCAACTCAAACGAAACGTTCTGATTAACTTGTATAAATTGTGGTTAACGCCTGTCAACGTGGTCAAGTAAGTCTAAGTGCATATTGGATACGCAAAGGTAAATAACTGCAGCATCAGGGAAGCACGTGTTTGTAGTCCTGTCTCTCAATGACCGTGGGAGAATAGTAAGTCACAACCTTAAGATCACAGCTCACTACCGCCTGGGTGTAGTTAGGAGGGTCAGGATTGCATGAGGATCAAGATGAACAATTGTCAATTTGATAAATATTTTCTATGGTATATACAATCACCGTGGAATCCAAACTTGAAAGTGCGTCCAGACCGCAAACTCTTGTTTTAAAGATCACCCAGACATCTTGAAAAAGTACAAAAGCCAACTACTTGTGTGATTTCAGTGCTCCCAGTTCACAAAAGGGTTTGGGAAATTATACCCTTTTGCGTTTTCTTACTGCAGATCAAGAATTGATTCAATTTTATTGCACATAATACTAAAAGTGATTTGCAATTGGTATATCTTATTGTTTTTCACTAGATAAGGGAAACTCAAAGGACACTAAGAGTGAGTTCAAAACAATACACCTTTGACATACAGGTTTTCCCCCAAGTAGTCAACTCTAGGGACCTACTACTTCACGTAAGGGTGTTTACAGCTTCAATCTACTAGTTTAAGAGAAAACCAGATACTCAGAAGAGCTTGCTAGAAAAGGATTAGTATAGGCCATCAGACTTTTTTTCGCAATATTCAAATCTAAGTCTGTGGTCAGAAATTCTCTGAGAGTTCAAAGGAATAAATATTTGAAGTGAATTAATATAAAAATAGACTATTTGACGTCAATTATTGCGGAGGCTAAGGTTTTAGTTTCAAGACATTTCAAAAGTCATATATGTGAAAGGTTTCACTGATTCGCTCTGGGAGGGAAAAGGAGGGACAATTTGGTAAGTTGTAGTCGTTAGCTAATTAAGTATTCAAACGTCACAACCAACCGGCCACTTTTATCCACTTCAGGAGTGGCGTAGATGTTGCCCAGGATAACTACTGCAGACTTAAATGAAATGCAGTATAGAGACTGATTAATGAAGCAAGTAGAGCTCAGAGTGGTACGAAACTATTTAAATAAAAGATCGAATAGAAATGCTTCCAAGTAGCTTAGAGTTTCCTGAAAATTGAGGCCGAAAAATGGCTAAGAAAAAATTGAGAGAATGCAACAGAACTTAATCCTTTCATACTACTTGGGACCAACTTAAGTATGTTTGTCACAGCGAACCTACTTGCTAGAGCACAAATTTCAAAGATGCACTGCCCTTGAACAAATCCTTGAGGTGACCAATCAGTTTCGAGCTAGAAGTGTGTCGCTTAAACAATAAACAAGTACAAGTTAAATCGGTAATATTATTGAGGTTGTATTTGATATCTTGTTTTTTAACTTCTTCACATGTGAAAAAGTTGTTTGACAGGTCACATTAGGTGATGAGCAGTCATTTTCAGCCAAGGCATCTCACCAACAAGAAGTGCTGGGATTTCAAACGGTTGAATGTGTCAACTTTACAGGACTATCTACAACAGGTGGATCGGGATGATCACCCTCAACTTGATGTGTGTGCTCATGAGGACTTTTTACTGCACACGCTCTTGTATGCTACAAATCAGTCTGTTCTTCAAATGGTCCCCGAAATCTAAAAGCAACCTATAGTAATCAAGAGCCTCACTCTTCGTTTGCTAAGCCGCAAAAGGCATTGTTGGGTGAAATAAAGACAAACTGATAACAACGGCGCGTACAGGCAGTACAAACGTATAAGGAACATATGCACAAAGGCAATAAGAAAATACAGGCTTCAGTACCAGATAAAGCTCATCAATAAGTTTGTTTCAAATCCGGAAGGCCTATTCGTTATGCAGCCTCTCTTCGATAAGACAAACCTGGAGTTTCCCAACTGCTAGGTCCTAATAGCCCGACCAATAACGACTGTGACGCTGTTGACCTTCTGGCTGAATAATACTCTCAGACATTTCAGCCGACCCACATTAACTATATTGATCAAGGCTTCATCTTCAACTGCACAGGACATTCCAAAGTGAACCTGAGCGCTGACTTGGTTTATTGGAAACTGCATCATCTAGGAAAAGACATTTCTCCTGGCCCAGATATGGTCCATTCTGCTATACTGAGGGAAGCAGCCTCAATCCTGGCAACGCCGCTCTGCGTGATGTTCTCTTACTCGCTAAGCCGAGGCAAACTACCGGAAAATTGGAAGTTAGCTGACATCTCACCAATTTTCAAAGCAGGCCGACGCAGCGAATTTTCAAGCTACCAACCAGTCGTCCCTCTCTCCATACCTTCAAAAATTCTGGAGTCCCGGATATGAGATGGTATGCACGACTATTTATAATCTTTAAACTTTTTTTCACCCCAGAAGCATGATTTCAGGAAAGGTCATTCTTGTATAACCAACCTGCGGTGGCTAGATGAATAGCCATTCTTGGCCCCAAGGGGAAGGTTGACGTCATTTACATTGGCTTCTCAAAATCTTCCTATAAGGTCAACTATACATGTCTTATCAATAAGTTCAAACGATTAGGTGTCAAATCACCTCTCATTGACTGGTTCACTTCATATCTAAAAAATCAACATTTTAAGGTCATCGTTAACTTCATTTTCTCTCAGGCTATGGAATATCCTAGTGGAGTCCTCCAGGGTTCAGCACTAGGACCTCTTCTTTTCCTGATTTATATAAACGATCTTCCATAGCAGGTATCGTCTGAATTATTACATTTACTGATGGTGTGAAACTTTAGAGAGAGATACGCAACCGAGAGGATATACTGCCACTTCTGGAGGATCTGACTCGACTTCATGATTGGGCGAATGATATCAGACTTGCCTTTGACACTTCAAAGTTTAAAGTAGTCCATCTGCGACATGTCGCAGACTACAGCTACAACTTAGACGATCGCCCTTCTAGAAGTATCCCAAGTTTAAAAAGATTTAGGAGTGCTGGTGCCCTAAGATTTGAAGTCTTACGCTAACCATGACGAAAATGTCTTTCGAGCAATCCATGAAGTGATAGCATTGACGCATTTTGTCCAGTTAGACGAAGAACTTTTCACATAATCTTCAATAGTTTCATTAGTCCTCATTTAGAGTACGGAAACATAGTAATTCCTCCCTCACTCCAAAAGGATTAGGACACTTTGGAACGTATCCAACGGCGAGTCACGAAATCAGTCCGAGGACTCAAATTCAAGACTTATGAAGAGCGCCTCCGATTATTAAACCTTTACCTATTGGAGTATGGGCGTCTTAGAGGCGACCTACAGTATTCTAAACACTTCTGGAAATCCTCTTAAACACCTACTTAAGTTTAGCTCCAACACAAACCTAAGGGATAACACCCAGAACCTAGAGACACAGTACAACAGAACGGACTGTAGACACAAATTCTACTCCTTAAGAGCTGTCTAATGTTGGAATTTGCTGTCGTCTGGGCTAGTCCAAGCGACTTCTCAGGAGTCCTTCAAGAGGCAACTTGACCTATTCTTAAGGACTAAGGATAGTAACTTACTATGATTTACCAATTTCTTTTTCCTCTATTATCGTTAATATACCTAGAATCCACTGCTACAAAACACGGAAGCCCGTTAAGTGGAAGCTTCTTCTATTATGTCCACAACTATTTGAATCATTTTGAACTATTTGAAAATATTCGTGACAAGCCAGTCTAAACAAATTTATTTCTTTGAGCTTGGTTTGTGATTTAAAAGGACAGTCCCAGATCTCTGGTATTTCTCAGTTAGACAAGTTCAACCAGCTAGCCTTGATTTTCTTCTCTGATCTAACAGTTATCCTGGGTTTTATGTAATGTGAAGTCAGGTAGACGCCCTAGTCCCATAGCAACGGGTTCATTGGAAACAGGAGCAGTCACATCACTGCAATGTCATCTGACTGCTTGCCTAAAAGATTATAAAATTATACCAATAAGAGCGGATAGAAGTAAAAAAGAGAAACTAAACTGATCTGTCAAAAAGCAGATATAAATAAACAAATGAATAGAACTAATTCTAAGTAAAGTGGAACAAAATATGATAGCGATAAGAAAATGGGAGAAAGTGGAAGCTTACCAACTTCTTTGCTCGTTGGTACCTTTAAATATCCAAGGAAAAAGCGACTATTGTCTTCTAAATTCGGAACACCCTTCTGTATGATTCATGACATGGATTCCTGTAACCTGTGGTTTTAGACTGTATACCTTCAGATAAAGCAAACAGGGTGTAGTGTGGCGTCGAGTCGCGGTTGACTATGATCAACACTACAGGAAGACTATGTGCCAGTTAACCGATAAGATCCCTCGTAGGCCAAATATCAGAAGGCAGTTGATGGCTGTAGTCGAGATGTATTTGTTGGCGATCTCGTGGTATCGAAAGAATACCGAGATCGTGCCAGGGTACAAGTTGGGTTACTGAGCGTAACCGAATTCGTGCAAGGTCACAATCAGCGGAAGAATGTATGTATTTAGTACAACCAAATAAACAAGTACGGTAAAACAATCACTGGTACAATCGGTTATAATAGCAATTGTTTCCATTACACCAATCACGTTCTCTTGATAAAAGTAGATCACTATAAGGGAATGCATTTAGGACTTCTTTTAGGAATTTAATTAAGTGGATGATCAACTACAATTGCTGAGGTTCGTAACAGAGGAACAAACGTCTCTTGTTCAGCCTCCGGATACTTAACCTTCGTTATGAGTAATACTGAGGAACAAAAAGGAACAAGTTTAGGGTGTTTACAATCCTCTCCATCTTTAAAGGTCACTCTCACTGTTCAGCATCGGATAATATCTAGTACGGAGTTACTCGTAGTTTGAAAATCGATGGAAGTGTATATAGGTACACATGAACGTTTTACAAGTGGATATCTGCAAGCTGATGGACCTCCACTAGGTAGTACGAAATGACGGTCGATATTTACTTTAATGGTGTTCATATGAAAGAAAAATGGGTAGGCTCCCATAAGACGGAAATGTAAAGTGTTGTACTAAATAGAATTATCTTGAGCTCTATTGTTCTTACATTACATCAACGAGTTTTCGAAACTATTTTTATAGCCAATTTGGGAAAAGTACGAAGGTCTTAGAGTAATACGTAGTGACAGTGAAGGAATTGGTTTGTAAAATTAAGTTAGGGGGCCCGAACTTTGGCCTTTATTAGGTCGACACCATCATAAGCTTAATAACACGGACTGGACACAACAATAACCATCAGTAGACCGTTAATGAGACACCATGGGAACAAGTTCTAGAATAAAACGATTGAGTGGTTGCGATGCATGACCTAGAAATGATTAGAACTCCAGAAGGAATTCAAAACACTGGATAAATGGGCGGTGAACGGCGATCTACAACTTGACTTATACTCATACCTTCTCCTGACTGAAGTAGTTATACCCGATCCGTATATTGAAATGCACTCACTGTAATTATCGTCATATGCCACCGGCCTATTTCTTCTCAATTTGCTTTTTGTAATCCCCGTTATTTTCCCGCTCTTATTCATTCATATTGTCCAAGTAATTAATTAATTTACTTCACGCAACCTTAATCTTCTCTTCGTTCTCCTGAATTCGAACTCTGTAATTTTCGAATAGCAGACAATCGATATGATAACTACTGGGTCCTGAAAACGTACTGACCTAAGTGCACTTTAAGTAACACATATGTAGCTGTCAAATACATTGGTAGTCGTGTTCTCGGGCGGCTACATTAATCCTGAATAGACCCCATTAAAGCCCCGAAATCAAGTCAATAAAACAAGAAGTGAGGGTAGAGAAATCATTTGGTCTTTACAAACAAAGTTCCAACGTTTATTGTAAAATAATAGGAAAGATAATACCAACATAAAATTAGGAAGTAAATGAATACTTGAGCTAAAGTTTTGACTAAATCTTGATCAACAACTATATACCCGGAAAGTGAAGACCATAGATTAAGCGAGGGACAGAATTCTTGCTACAGGCCAAACAGAGAGCATGGCTCATGAGAAATAACTCCCTAAAGAATTCTGACCGTAGCTTTTACTTGTCACTGAATAGTGGATGCAAATCAGAATTCTGTAGTGATGGATAGGAGCTAGCATCCGATCAACTCAAAGCATGGGAAATCTGGACGACCTGCTGGAACCATCTGATACTGTTTCATGTAATATTCTCTGATTTCCCAAAAGCCTTTGGCACAGTACCTCATGTATATCTCATGGTGAAGGTTGGAAAGATGACTTTCGTGGCTCCTAGACTATTTAGAAAACAGGATGCTTCGTAACAAGGTAAATAGAGCACATAAAAGTTGAGGGGTCTCAACATCACAGGGAACAATCTTAGATCCATTCATGTTTTTGGTCTTCGTTAGAGATCTGTTAGATAAAATTAGCTCGGCAGCACTGATCTATGCAGATGACGCAAAGATTTGTAGGTACACAAAGGGTGACAGTTATTCATTTGAGCTTCGAAAGAACCTTATAACAGTCAACGGACACGCAGTAGACAGTGAGTTGAAATTAACCAATCAAAATATGTCAAGAACACTCTGTCTCATTTGATACAAAGCACTTATACTCTCTATGGAAATCCGCTCCCAATTGTCTTCGTGATCTCGGGCATGTAACATCGGAGGGCTTAGGTACCAGGTCAAAATATATGGGAGATGCAGCCAAGCAAACACAACTCTCCACCTTGTGCGTAGACAATTTAGCACAATCACTCAGAAAATATTCCTGACACTAGATAGAACGCACGCATGGACCCATCCCAAGGTTCGCAGTGTCTTTGCGTCCCCTCTGCCTAAAAGAGATATAGATCTCTTGGATCGAGGACAAAGATAAGTAACTAAGTTGGCGATGTGTTTAAAATGTTAATCTTACGAGGACAGACCCCAGTACCTGAGATTATTGTTGTTGATCTGAAGGGGAATATGAGATGACCCGATAATAACATACAATACAATAAATATGCTAGGCCACCCCATCACGAAGATATCGCCAAAACATCGTCATCACGCCGATCAAGACAGCCCTCGAAAGACTGCATGTCAAGGAGCGAACGACCAGGTTCGTTTTCACGTTTCCTGACTAAGAGTTGCCCCCATTTCAGAGTATTTTGCCCAGCAGAAGTGACCATAGCTTCATCAGTGGGTAGCCCTAAGATGAGATTTGAAAAACACGTTTTCACCCATGATTTGCCATCTCCCCCGCAGACCGGCTATGTCCAATGCATGTCTCATAAATTAGCACAGCAATCATTACCGCACATCAGTAAATACTTCATACATCTCTTATTATAATCTGCATCTTCACTTCCATTTTTTGAATTCCATCCCCTCACACATTACCAGCTAGTTAACCCATTTATTACTTTTGGAGACATTCTTTTCTCTTAGCACGTGAGTCATCGCTTTATTGTTTTTACAACCAACCAGCCACCTTCCTGGTAACGTGATGACAACTAATATCCAGAATTCCTACTCTCCTGAGACAACCGCACTCACTCAAACGGTAGGATATACAAACCTACAAATAATTAACAAACTGGTTGAAATTAGTGCAATTGAGTGGCTAGACTGCAACCCCTTGGACATTGCCATAAACCTGAAACCATACTGAAGCAACGGGAAGCGAGTGTAAAGAGATTACTTGGTTTATATAACTTCGTGGCAAAGATATTGGAGTGCTTTTCAGTAAGACATATCTGATCTGGGAGAAAGCAGGCGTTCTGGCATTATCCAGCAAGAACGTTGGTTGTAGCCGTACTGGCGTCTTGGGTACTTTTACGAAGGATTTGCCAGTGCGGTAAGTCTACTCGTGCTGCTGGCTGCTTGAGGAATACATTTCTTCGTCCAAACTTCGATTTTTCTCTCTAGCTAGCGGGGCTGGGACGCATCGGAATGGCTAACTTACTGGTCTTTGGTCACAGAGTCTTTGTTCCGTTCGCATACTAGGTGAACTCGTAATCGCTTCAAAAATAGAAAGACAAATACCGAACTGTATAACATAAACATGAGAAAATTTCCTCGAAACAGAGAAATATCACTGGATGTTGGTGGTCGCAACTTTAAAGTCATACCCGAAGATCCGGATAAAACCGTCATCGTAACATCAGAAACTAGATAAGAGACATTCTCAGCGATAGGAGACTATGAGTATGAGTAAACGAGGCATTATCAACATGGTATTTTATAAAAAGTAGCGTCCTTCAGAGTAAAATGATTGGGCCTTTTCATCTTTATGCTTCATGTAAATGACCTACCAACGGTAACAAACCAACCTATTCTACTCTTTCCCGACGATTTTGAGACCTTATTAAGAATATTGGAATCAAGCAGCTGGTCCCTGTTTTAAACGTGAGGCTAATATGCTATAAAGAGTTCAGCGGAGATGAAAAAAAGTGATGAAACGTCTCAGCGATTTAACTTATCAAAACAGACTGACTCACCGAACTATTTTCGTTATCTTACCACAAGTTATAGAGTGATTTAATACTGAATTACCGTACAATGAACGATGATTCTGGTACTAATATGTCTGGTCGTTTCCCTCCATCTGTTAAGAAATCCCAAGAAAGTCTGAAAACCGAGGTTAAGAGGTCTAGGTCTGGAGTTTCTTTTCTGACATCGAGTAGTGAATTTCTTGGATTATCTACTAGAACATGCAATAGCAGTAGCTTAAGCCGATATTTTCAAAGTGAGATTGTATCTAGACATTATCACAAATTTCAAAGACTTACATAGGTCGATTGACCTCCTATCATTACTAATTGAGACAGATTAAGACTAAGATTAGAGACTCAAGCCTGAAGGTCGTCTCGATAGCGCTTCGCATGAAGTGTTTCGAAACACTTTGTAATGGTTATTTGATGAATACGTGGGTGTCATGAGACCAAGAGTACTATCGGTCGGTGTCAGCGCAGAAGCCAGTATAGCTGTTGATTAGTAAAATGCTTTTCATCCAGTATTTCAATTTTGCTCACGTTTTAGCGGTTGGAAAGGACTTATTGCTCTTGGCAGTTTCACCAACATACTTATAGTTGACCCTTGTTTCAGTAAAGTAACAGATTTCAATGATTTTCCTAACCTAATTTCAGTCTTTGCAGTCACTTCAGGGCCACCGCGCTAACATAGTAAATGTTTTGTGGGCTCCTGAAAATTACTATCATGATGATAAAAACCCTTTTCAATTAAAACTTGCCAGTGTTGACGCGTCTGGAGTAATAATTATTTGGGATGCTACTACGTCCTCTGCGACCTCAGAGTTTCGTGAGCCAGATTCACTCGTTCTGGGTTAGTTTTCGCATTCTGCTTACTAGTTTAGATATATTATGGCTACCAAATCAGTGGGTTTCACGTGATTTGTTAGCTGTTCTCCACTCTCGTGGTAGATTCATTATCTGGAACACACAAACCCAAACAAGATTGTGGAAGTACTCTTTTGGAGACGATGTGGTTTCTTTTTCTTTGGATATATTCTCTAATTCAAAGATGATTTGTAACTGATTTTCCACTTACTTACTTACTTCTTAAGTTTGCTCAAAGGAATATTTCATTGTGGAAAATTTCAACGTCACTTCATGTGCCTTTGGAAAAGGCAGGAAACTAAACATCTCTGAGGCTGGTTTGTTAACACCACATATTAAAACTTATAGTTGAAGGTAGTAACAAGTGTTTTGTTAATGAAATAAACTCACATGGGACAACATCAGGAGAAACGCCAGTAAAATTATCGTCCATTGAACAAAAAGTCAGCCCGGGGAACTCTGGAAGGTATTTAACAAAGTATTTTGGTTTAAAATTAAGTTTTAAGTGGACGACTACCTAATATCATCAGCTGTCACATAATGAGTATTGGTCATATATGAGAGGGCGGATGTGTGCTTGGTCATAAGGTCGCGATAAATAGCATTGGAGGCCGTCACATACTAGTTTGAGGAAAGCTTTCTTAAAACTACCCTGGAAAGTGTTCTGTGCCCTGCTGTAGGGGCTGATACTATGTCAAGCCCACGTAGGTTGTTCTAGCCTTGGGATAGATCAATCTATTCTTCTTAAACCACATTTTGACCTTGTCACATATTCGATTATTAGTCCTGACTTTTTTGTATGAGCGTATGTGTTTATACTTCTTATCCTACTCATCACGTGTCTGTAACTTATTTGTGTTCGACTATAAACATCGATTGACGCTTGACTAACTTGAGTTGACTCACACGCCTCCACCGCGCATCATTTTTGTTTAGCTTTGTTTATTTGATCGTCTGTCTGGGTCAATGATTGTATGAAATATACGTATACGAAATCCATTCTCGTATTTGGAGTATTTAATTCCGTTTTTCACAAACGCAATTTAAGTCGATTATTATATATGAGGATTGACAATATGTATAAGTCGCTAACAAACAGCAAACGATCTACTTGGAGTCAAATATGGGGCCACTAAAAGCACTACCTTTTAATACAGTCTTATTTGATCTTCTTAACACGCTTTGTTATTCAACTCAAGGTTTAAAGTACTCATTTACCAGTCAAGCTCTACAACGTGCATGACCTGCAAATCTTTATGTAGGAGTGGCAAGGCAATTTATGAGGCTGGTGGTCTAAGAGTGATTAAGAGTAGTCAAACGATAAGCTATCATCTATCCAAAAAGTCAATGACTACTTATGGGAGTCTTGTTGGAAAGGTCATGTATTTTGGTTGGTGTTCACAAGATAATTGTCGACTATGGTTGAAGACCTTAGATGACGGCTCGGAACCTCACGTCTGGGTAAGTGGCTTCGTTCCTCGACTTATTTTTTCCTAGACAACAGTACTATCCCAAAATTTATATTCTCTAATTTCCCTTATTTGGCTTTTGTTCGTATTTGGTTTTCTGCTACTTTCTGTATCGTTATTTTAACTCCTATCCTTGCTCCTATTTATTCACTGTCTTCGTAAGGTTATCAGGTACGATAACTGCAGTTAGTGGATATCTACCTCACGTTGTTAGTCTAGTATTTATTTTAATAAATAAGAAATAGACAATATAATTGTTTCGACTATTGATATTGTTAATTGCTTAGTGTGAAGAATTATTTTTTGTCATGTAACATAAGCAAGTGAGGTTAGCATTCCCTAGTCCACATTTGGTGTTTCAACAGAATGGCTTTGAAGTTGCCGGGTTAATAGATAATGCTTGGCTGTTTATAAGACAAGCAATGACTTTGTTGTTTAAACTGCGAGTAAAAGAATTATTTTTTTCCGATTGTCTGTGACGTGTATTCACATCTTAATAAGGAATGCTGAATTTTATGATATTGCGTGTTCACGCGGTAAGTTATTGAATGGTTAATGTTAAATACTACTCATATCAAATGATTACTAATCTGACTAAATAAATCACATGAAAAGTAGTGTATTCACATGTCATTTTGATTAATTTTGAGGGTTACAGAAATCCTTATCATCACTGTTTTTCGCCATGTGTCGTCAGATCTGGGGTTTAAGTACCAAGTACAAGTCATTTAAACACTGCACACATAACAGTAAACTATTTCTACTGATATTTTTTTCTATGTACACTTTAATTAAGTTATTTGCTAGATACAGATCCATACACCTGGCTTCAAGCCACATTCCAAATGTGAGTGCTGGTGATACTTCGTGATTCACGAAACAGAAATGAGTAATGCCAGATTCAAACCTGCGACGTATTGGGTGAAAGTTGAATGTATTAATCACTGAATCACTGTTTCATCAAACGAAACGAGAGTAATCTAAAAGTTCTAAGTTAATCCTTCTGTCTGAACTTAGTACCGGGTCGAACAGTTTAATTTCATAATATCAGCTCATTTGTCTTTAGATTTTAAATAATGATTTCTGCGGTGTCCATAAGTAAGTTGTTATTAGTAGCAGAAATAATTCCATTGTCAATTTCTTACGAGGAAGCTGCTGTCGAAAGCCAACTTGCCTTCGCTCTTTAGTGTTAAGTACATAATAGAAGAAAGTATATCACGTTCTTAGTTGTGCACATCTGCAAAATACTGTCCCATTTTACTTATAGAAACATTGTATGTGAACATTCAGTTATTAAACAAACTTTACTGTGTTTGTTTTGATTCAAAGCTTTTACTATTTCAATTTTTATTCAGGGCATGTGATTCTTCGAGTGATAGTGCGAGAACAACATCTATTAGAACATGTTTGCAGGTTACTTACCATCGATATCACAAGGACTGTGCGCTGTTTGTTTTTAGGAGGGAGATTATTATTGTGAATCTGGGATTGATCCGTCCACTTCATGTCGTTTATCTAGATCCGTCTTGGCCTTCTTTCTCACGTGTGAGTCAATTTAACTTATGAGTATTAACGATCCTGAAAGTGATCTTTTAGTTTCCTAGTTTTGAGGTAGACCATTTCTAGGCGCCCATAAACTTAGATTTCTCCCATATCTTAGCATAACCCCTCGATTAACAGTAGTTATATATTACGGAATGTCAAACATCTATTATAGTCCCATCCTTCTCAAATATATGAAAGCTTATCCACCGAACTCATTTTTAGTACTTAATATTCGAGAAAAGTATAAATTACTGAGTATTTCTTCTGTTCATCGCAGAAGGGGTAATTTTGATCTCTCGAAGAATCTTGGGTGGCTTTGAATAATCCATTTTTTAAAGAAAACAACGCACCAATACATTATTTTATTTACTGTTCATCATGATCATCACTACACATAAATTTATCACTACAGAGGCAGATATTCAATACATGAAAATTTATGAATGTATATTTGCCATATTTCTCGTAATTTGTAATTTTCGTTATCTGTAAATGTCGCAGTCTGGATGCATAAGAGCAAAATCTTGTTTTCTGAGAGGCTTTGACGTGGAAAGCATAGCTAGAGACTGTTAGAATAAGGAATATGTGTGGTTATATTTGTAAGCATATTTCTGATTTACAGGTTTATTCTTGCACTCAACGTGATGTCATCATTTGCCTACATGAAAATGGTAATTTAAGCGTATATGCTTGTCGTGGTCTTGCTTTAGCAGCGGATCCTTCTCTTCATCCTTCTCATTTACTGCGAAAACCTAGTAAAGAATCTTCTGATATCCACGTTGATAACAGCTGCACTTATGTTCTTGTTGCAACTGCTGCTTCTTCTAGACGCCCAAAACAAGTACATCATGTTGATTTTTCTGTGGACCAAATGAATGAGTTGAATATTGTCGTAGCTTCAATTGATGGGCGTTTCCAGGTAACTTAGTAACATTTGTAAAATGTTCATTTCACTTTTGATATTTTTTACTTTGCTGTTTGATGTATTATAACACAATGATTCCTAGTCAGATCCTTTAAATCTAAAACCAAATTAATTTACGAGATAGTTTTAGTTTCTCTTGACTTATCAGATGATTGCTGCTTGTCTTGCAACTGTTCTACTTATCAATTTTGCCAGTAGTTATAAGATGGTTCATGGTCATGCAATCGTGATACTTTAGTGAGGATGGCTGAAACTATTTCCAACATTCTCATTCCTTTATTGTTTTAACTGTTTAGTTGATTCGTATTATGAGCGGTAGCTTAGCAGTTAAATCATTTAGCTTTTAACTTTTAGGTCTCAGGTGAGAACTCCGCTCCATCTACTTCGATTTAGGTAGACGCGTATCACTGCTAACACCCAAGTAAACAGATGATTAAATCAGATATTCAAGTTTGTGCTTAGGAAGTGAGTTACGTGAATATAATTCATATTAAAGTGGAAGTATTAGTGCTTAGATTAATACACAATTTTATGTGGAAATCACTTCAGGTGTTTATAAAGTGTAAAAGGATTGTTTATATCTTTAGACAATTATAATTGTTTTTTTTTCTGATTTACTTTAAGTTTATAACTTTTCAAGTCCAGTTCACTATCACATTGGAGTTAAAAGACTGAATTCATGTTATTTTTTTATTGTAATAATGCTTAAGCACATATTTTAACTTATAGTCTATGGAAAACTGTAGGTTCTGTTAATTATGTAAATAAGACTAGGTCTTGGCTAAAATTATGTACGAAACATTATGCAGTATACACTAAACTATTATGTAACATCCACCACCAATATACAGTGAGGTTTTGAGAGTGTAGTAGTCATAGTGGTTTTATCTCAATATCCCCTGTTAGTTCGTGTGTGCATATATATCTAACTATCTATTGATTTTCAAAGTTTTGGCAACTGCGAGCTGTTCGAGACTCAACTTTTTGTGATGAAGAGGTGAAACCAATTTGGAGCCTTTCAGATCTGCTACCACATGCACCTGTTGTAGATAAGTAAGTAATACCTTAAAGTATTTTATTTAAGCATTGATTACTATTTCCGTTTTAGTCACCTAATGTCTAATATCAGAATATGTACTGACCGCTATAGGATAAGCAGACAGCACTATGTTCTGGGATTATTTGTTAGAGAAGAGTATATCTGGGCTTATTAAGATCCTGAAAGATAAATACAAAATCACCACAGGTAGGATAAGGTCACAAAACCACTTCTCATCTGTCTAATTCCGCCTCTCTTCTTCATTCCCACCGTTGATGTAACTTATTGAGTTCACCGAAACTCACGAAGTGCAGTATGTAATTCAAAATTGATTTAGTATAATTGAATCGATAACCAGATTTAAAACTAATATGTGCAGCCCAGATGTGAACAATCAATCCATTAAATTCATTTTTGTATTGTTTGTTTGAATATTCTCATTGATGTTTAGGGCTGCAATTGATTAGCATATGTGCATCCTGTGCGGATTGCCTCAAAATCGCCTCGAGTCACAAGCATTATAAGCAAAGATGGATAGTGGCTAGCAGTGGAATCCAGAATGGGCGTTTCATCCTGTTACAGACTCGTCGGCTGGATGTACCTACATCACAGAGTTGGTGTTCCCTCCAGGCTATCTGGACTCGGTAGCTAAGTGAATAACATGATGGCATTTTGACCAAACGATACTGGGTTCGATTTCCGGAGTGAACATCAACTCTAGGATGCAGGCACGCCCAGCTGACGGGTCCAAAATAAGACGAGACACACATCCCGGATCCCACTGCTAGCCACTATCCATATTTACCTATAAGATTTATCCATTGTTTGGAGTATTAAGACCTGAAATAACTAGACTCGTTGCTCAGCTTGGATACTAAAAATTCCATCGTAAACCTAACGCGACTTGTTAAATTTCAGCGCTTTATACAATCTCAGAATGGGTCCCGGTTTGGTTTTGCCGAGTTGCATCACTTTTAAGGTAGGCGCTGTGTCCGTCTGCGGAATCAAGGACAAGTATGCTACTCAGAAGTTCGCTCCTGTTTAATTTTTGGCTATGTTTATTTATTTATTTGGACACAAACATTGGTACAAAGGGGGCACCACACAGTAACAGTGATGTTGTGAAGAGATAGAGAATGTAAAGTGCCTGTAATAAAAGATAAACAACTGACAGAAATTAGTGTAGGAAAGTGAAGTAATAATAATAATAATAATAATAATAATAATAATAATAATAATAATAATAATTGGAGAAACAGTTCATTTAGGGAAGATACAACCAAAAAGAATTCTTTCGGATAAAGAAATTACTCACACTTATACGAAAAAAGTAAAACGAAGTTACAACAGGATCGCCACTGGTTTATACTCCGATCCATGTCTGATAACGTCTCAAGCCACTGTGTCGCACAGTCTCTCGGCCCCCAGCCAGGGAGTCGTGAAGGACCAACAGAAGCCGGTCCTGTACAGCATTCCTTCATACCAAGACACTATATCGTACACTGACCATCTCTCCGCTTTTTCCAACAAATTCCATAGTCGGTAAATAATGCACGACGTGGAGTTCTTTGGGATGACATTCATAGGAAATGTCCGGGCCACCGAAGCCGATGTTTCAAGATCGTGACCAACTAAGTTATCATCGCTGTGCCCGAATACATGGTGCTAGACCTCTGCATTACTAACATGGTGTCGCCACTGGATGTCAGCAATCCTTCAGAGACAACGATAATCGGACACAGAATCGTTAACTGAAAGATTTCTTCTGATTGTACCTTTCCGTCCCCCCCATTATTATTATTATTATTATTATTATTATTATTATTATTATTATTATTATTATTATTATTACACAAAATTACACTAATCTGTTCGTCATTGTTCTTTTTTTAACGCTCCTTACTTTCTTTTTTCTCTCTCCGAATTCTCATTGTTTTGTGTGGCGCATATATATTTGGTGCCCTCTTGTACCAATATTTATGTGTTCAAATAGTAAATAATAACCTGGATGAGTTGAAATACCTTCCGGCAGTTACCGAAAGCGACTGTTGTTTCCAACTCGTCAGCACGTTTCGAACACCGGGCTTCTCGGTCCTTACGCAAGCTTTGCCTGATTTCATTACGTAACGGCCTTCGTTTGTGGTCAAACTCACGGTCACCCGGAGCAAACTGATGGGTTTCAACGAGTTGTAAGGAACCTGAAGAAATCAAGTGCTTATAAGCGGGACGTTTCGCGAAGCCGCAAGCGGCTTTACTCGCCATTTTCATGGCGTCACGCGATTGCAACCAATACTCATCTCTACTTTTCGGTGGGATGGTAGCTAGCCTAGAAGCTAGCTCGATAGCAATAGAAGTTGCAACCAGCTTGCTGACATCAATCCTTTGGTGGCGGTCACTTCGTTGGTCACTGAAAAGTAAGGTAAGATTGGCGCAGACTAGGGCATGATCAGAGTTCAAATAGGTACTCCAAAAGGAGCGGCAGTCTTGTACACACCCACGACAGCGGTAGCTGATCGCGATGTGATCAATCTGAGTTAACGCTTGAGATTCATAGGGAGGAAGCCAGCTAGCACATCAGCGATGACTGTTTCGGTAGTTAGTGCTAGCCGAAGGCAGATTGTAGTTTTCGCACAGTTGCAGTAGATGGTCACCTTTATCTGACCTGCGACCAACAAGTCCCCATCGGCCACATAAACGACTCTCTTTTGTGCCTAGATGCCTGGCCTGAGCATTCAAGTCTCCGGCTAGTACCACAATATCTATTGAACGCACTTCCGTAGAGGGACAATTAATTGATGGTAAAACCCATCCTTAATCGCAACCGGGCTTCAGTCTGTCGGAGCGTAGACAGAGGACGAGAAGACAACGTTTCTCACACCGATTTCTTCTCACTTTGATGGAACTTTCTAATCTAACAGTAAATAACCTGCTGTCAATGGGGATCCAATCGATTAGTGCTGCCTCAGCTCTAGCGCTAAGCGCGACACCATTGCCAGCAAGACCAGAGAAAGATGCCACAGGGTCCTCAGATAAACTCACATAAAAGGAGCTTTTCAAAGTGATATATGGTAAGCGGATTTGTAGCACTTCCCACTGTATCCACTAACCCGGTTAAAACGTCGGACATTCTTTTTTTGTCCCCTCAATTTCGTAAACAACACCCCCGCTGCAAGAAGCCGATGAGTAGAACTTCTTTCACAGTAGCTGTATACGCGTGGCCATGTTAGAGCATTTCGAAAGGGAGAATGGATTCTCTCCACCCTCAACCATGTCAAGGCATTTGGTGGCTGTGAAAGTAGTCCTTTAAAAATAGGAAGTATTTGTAGATTACTAGTATTGGATTATAAGTGGCTTCAAACCATTGCTCTTGTATTTTAGTGTTTCTGAGGTTAGACACAGTACTGTATGAGGATTGCAGGTCAGTTGATGAGACAGAGAACCCTGGTCATGTGAGGTGCTTAGGACACGTATTGTGTATGCTCATCTACTGGCTACCTGGATGCGTGATGATGGCTGGTGTAAGAATATGATGGAAGTAAGCTAAGGGGTGTCCAAACCAAAAAGTCCCATCAGTTCATAAAGTCATTGACAATTGAACTAGGTCATGTAGGTAGGTGCAAACTACCTTGCTGGAGTCTGCATGATTACCATAACCAGTGGTTGGAGTCGTTGGTTGACATGGCTCAGAATCATTCTCGATGGCTCAAGTTTATTCGCATTCCTTCTCCCCTTATATTCAAAGTCCTGAAATCTTTTTATACTTTCTATTCTTTCACATAATTTTTCATAATACTGTTGACAGTGTTACTACTTTTATTATTTTAGCGTTTGCTTTGACAAATTTATCTCACTGTACTAATGTGGTGTGGCAAGTTGAACAGATACACGTATGTGTTGAGTGGTACGTTACAGGTTACTGACTCGATGACTGAAGCCATCAATTCACGATTATTCGTTAAGAAATTCTCGTCTTGGTACTAATCTTTTGATATCTACCTTAAGAAGATAAACACTTATACTATACAATCATGAACTTAAGGTGATCTGATAAGGCAGTTAGGAATGTGGCGTCCCACATATTTAACAAATAATTAAATAAAATTGCCTTTGTATGTGAGTTTGTAAAAAGGGTTAGTAGCTTTGACCATAGTGAAAATTTCAAGGTCTAATGGTGAAATACTAACCGTTACATTTTAAGGTTTTTTATCATGACTTCAAATGTATTTCATTAAATCTGGGTAAATTTTAGGTGAGTACTGCAAAGGAAACCAATAGTTTATATTTGAGATAATTTAACGCTTTATACGCTTGGTGTTTAAATTTTTGCTGTAGGCCTCCAATAAAGTTGTATCTCGAATTAAATGGCCTATACTCTCCAAGTAGATCAGAGCCAACACTGTGTCGCGTATGTCCACCGAATCTGATGGGATTTTCAATGGTAGACTCAATTCGTGGTCCATTAGTGTCTGTTGGTAATAATCGTGGTGACATCCAGGTGACTGCACTTTTTCAGTTTTCATTTCATGTACTTCAATGATTACTTAGTTACATTATTTTACTTTATGTGGTTCACGTTTCATTATTTAACTAGTATCTGGTACAATGCCATCGTACAATTTTTAGGAATCTTTTTGTATGCTTTCTGACTAACCAGTGTTCACATCATATGTTTTTAGCAGTGAGAAAGTTACAAAATACTCGGGTTTCTTGATTATCCTTCAACCTTTTACTTACGCCTGTTACCCCTTGGGGAGGAGCTTAAGGCTCCTATCAGAATTATCCACCGAAAAATGTCCTGGACAATCCTTCCCAGTTCTTTCCAGTTGCCATTCATCCTTTTCATTTCTACTTCCGATTCCCGATACAGTGTGTTCTTTGACCTTCCTCTTTTTTGTTTCCCTTCAGGATTTCAAATCAGAGCTTGCCTCGTGATTCAGTTTGATGATTTCCTCAATGTTTGTTTTACCCACTTCCAACATCTTTTCTTAATTTCTTCCTCAGTTGGAAGTTGGTGTGTTCTCCCCTATAGTCGGCTGTTGCTGATGGTGTCCAGTCAATGGACATTCAGTATCTTACTCAGACAATTGTTTATAAATACTTATACCTGAGTTCTATAAAAGTTATATTTAAGCATAATTAGATGCTTTGATATTGTGGTGAACAAGAACACGAGTGGGGACAATCGAATGTATTTGACAGAAAATTACAGAACTTGTTAATAAAATCTAACAATTATATAGTAAATGCTTAATTTGCAAGATGTCCATCAATTGTCTTAAAATGACTCAGACTTCATTGTTCTTGCATTTTCATACAAATCACATTCTGTTTCCATTCTTTACTGTTCGATCCTCTTGTTTCTGCTTCCAGACATTCTGTTCCAGACTAACATCATATACTACTTATGTCGATATAAGTAGCACACATCACAATACGAGATCTACACAAGTTCTTTAAGTTACATACTTATTGTAATAAAATTATGTATCTACCGTTTAATTAACTATTTTCACACTCAAATATTAACCAATATTTCTGTTTTTGCTTTTATCACGTAAGATCACAAATTAATTTTGTTATAATTCTGTCTTATTACAACCAAGCTATTCCTATTGCTTAGTATTTTTGGAAACCAATTCACTCGACAAGTCCCCAAATCAGAACACGGTTGGACAGGAAAGAGATTATATTTCAAATAACAAGGTTAGATGGAAGTAAGAAACACAATAAGAAAAACGTTAGTATATTTATAGTTTTCATATGAGAAGATTTCTAGAGTGTTCTCTAAGTATCGACTAGCGCTGATTGGATAAGAATTAGCCAATGAGCGTGCGCCACCGCAAGCGTGCATTGAGCATGATTTAATCCAATCTATGTTACGCTAACAAATTTACTATCCATTTACTGCCAATCATTGAAAATATGATTCATATTGTTTTAGTTTTAGTAGGACTTCTCTGGCAGAGGCTATATACGCGTGGCCATGTAAGAGCATTTCGAGAGGGAGAGCGGACTCTCCCCACTCTCGGCCGTACCAGGGCATTTGGGTCAATCCAGCACTATACTTATCCAATGTCATCAATGAGTTATTCTTTTACTTCTGACATGGTTTACTCTACTAGTTTATGTGACACCAGTTTGTAATAAAATTATCATAATATGACAGTCGACTGGTAAGTTTACTGCAGCATAGATGAACAAACTGATAATTTGCTTACGAAACCATTTCAAGTCTCAACCGAATAGATTTTAGGAGACAAAAGCACTGGCCAACTGACTGAATATACTATGAAATTAAGTTTATAACGCTTATGCAAGGTATTCAACCAAGATGTTATAACTTGTCAAGTAACGAACGACTAATCATTGATAAAAATGAGGATCACAAAACGATCAATAATTTTTTATTTCTGATTGTCATATCAGAAATGACTTTCAACTCATTCACGTTATTCGCAAAACTTTTCATTTAAAGAAACATTACTGCTGAGTGATTAACTTGTTCCAACTAGATAAATTTCTTTACTGGTTCATCGCGTATTGAAGAAACTCAATCTGCATTGAATACTTGATTTCAGCAATTTGAAACAGTAAAATGAAGTTTTCTTGTTAAAAGTGGTGATAGTTGTTGCTTCATCAAAATTGAAGTGTTTCTTTTGATTAAAATGGTAAATTTCTCTGAAGAAGTTCCGATTTATCGTAAGGATTTTTCACATAAATGTTAGGTTACTATAAATTGTGTATTCGTTGTGATGGTGTTTATTATCTATTTTACTAACAATACAAAGAATGAGTCACACAATAATAGTCCAACAAGAAGTATGACACAAGAAATAAAACCATAACGATATTGGTTGTATTCAATATTATATGTTTAGTACAAGCTGGAATTCTCAGCATAAAATGATAACATTTTAAATAGATGAGAAAAAGAATCATATAGTTATAGTAAAATTGAGACTATTGAAGATTATTCTCCAAATAACTCTACAATCAAGATAGATTCCATCCATTCAGATATCCATTTTATCATTTATGAAGCTGATTTCAAGATGATTTGAGGACATATCAAGCCCCGACTGTACCAATAAATTTAAGAGCAACAGTGTATTTTAAATGTTAACTTATTTTCAAGCTATTTTACTTGAATTCATAATCATCACTGTCATACTGGATTGATATTGAAGCTCCGTTGTTGTGCTTTATAGCATTAATAAAAGCAGCAATTAAATTCTGTGACTAAATTAATATAGAAAGTATATAGTGTAAAGGATGCCACATCAAAATAGAATCAATTTCAGATACTGTTAGCTAACTTAGCTTAAACTTTTCATTTGATGACAATTTGGGCTGCCCTATCAAATCAAAATACCAAAGTATATAATTAAGAACCATCAGTTATACACACAAAATAGCCAATAGGTATAAAAACAAGTCGTTGATCAATTAATTAGTTTGAGAATAATGAGCTAAATCTCTATCATGTTAATAATGATATGTGCTTACACATAAGTTGTAAGAAATTTCAGTTTTAATGTTGCATTTACAAATTGTAGGCAGTTAATTTGTTCAAATATCTACCCAAATTTCAAATGATTCTAACTGGGAAACCTTTGTAGAATCTTAGTGTAATACTTACTTTGTAGATTTTAGTTTGCATATCGCAGTTTTATTTTAACGTTTACTGTGAATCGATAATGTACTTAAGCGCTCATCATTGTCATACTTACTTACACCTGTTACCCCTCGTGGAGGAACATAGGCCGCCCAACAACAATCTCCATCCAACCCTGTCCTGAGCAATCCTTTCCACTTGTTATTTCATCCTTTTCATTTTTACTTCCAATTCCCGATACAATGTATTCTCTGGCCTTCCTCTTTTCTGTTTCCCTTCAGGATTCCAAGTCAGAGCTTGCCTCGTGATTCAGCTTGATGATTTCCTCAATGTTTGTTTTACCCACTTCCAACATCTTTTCTTAATTTCTTCCTCAGTTGGAAGTTGGTGTGTTCTCCCCTATAGTCGGCTGTTGCTGATGGTGTCCAGTCAATGGACATTCAGTATCTTACTCAGACAATTGTTTATAAATACTTATACCTTTTTGATGATGGCTGTAGTAGTTCTTCAGGTTTCAGCTCCGTGCAGTAGAACTAACTGTTTTGACGTTCATACTGAATATTCTGACTTTGATGTTAGCTGATAGTTGTTTTGAGATCTATATTTTCTTTAACTTTAGGAATGCTGTTCTTGCTTTGCCGATCCTCGCCTTTACGTCTACGTCTGCATTGGATCCTCCTTGTTCATCGATTATGCTTTCCATGTACTTGGAAGGTTCCACCTCTTCCAGAGCTTCTCCATCCGCCTGTAGCCCTTCTAGAGCTACTACCAGTCCCAAGCTCTGGTAAAGGAGGAGGGTTGGACATGGGGTCGGCAACCCCATCTCGTAGAGAAAAAATCTTGCTTAAAAATCTCCAACAACTTTGTCATAGTTATAATTACTATAATTTTGTCACCTTCAGTTTTTCAGTGTTATAACATTTGATATAAATACATGTTTATTTGTGTTATTTTTAGATTTGGGATGTATCATCAGCTATATTATGGCGTGAATATCATGTACTACCGGTACCTATCAAAGGAATTGAATGGATAACAATACCTCGAACAATTTATAAAAATAAACAAATCAGTGAAGATTCTTCGAGACCATCATCATGTGAATATTCATTAGGTTTAATTGTTCATGGTTGGCAATCCAAAGATGGTCACCAAAGTTCTCTTACTGAAAATTCATCGAATAGAACAAATACAATAGGAAGAAATTTCGTTACTACACTGGACTTATCAACAGGTTATATGCGTATATTTCGTGATATTTCGAATCAAAATATTGACAAGACAGGTCCTCGCATAGGAATCAGTGTTCCCGGTAGTCAACTTTTATCTGGATCCAACGATCAAGAAAATCTTCTTGAAGGACCAATTGACATTCTTTGTGTTAGCCACTTAAAGTAAAGAATAATTTATGGGAATCAGTATTTTTACCGTTTCTGATTATTATTAGTAAATATTGAACCGTTTGCATCTTTTAGGACTCATGTTGTATATTTTTAAAGAGAAATAGATATCTTATTCTGTATATAATTGGTTGATTGAAGGTGAGAACAAACCTTAACGTTGTCGAGTTAGCCAGTATCATAGAAATGTCTATACTGTGAATATAAATCACATTAACTAACTGGATATTAAATACAATTAATTAGCTGTTAATGTGGTATCGAAGGTAAAATTCAAAATAACTATCGTTTACTTTTCAAGTAAGTGGTAATAGATTGAATGTAGGATATTGTGATGTCAAATAGCTTGACTTGGCAGTTCCACCTTAATTCTTAGACTAGTACAATTCAATCGGCAATAAAAAATTGTAATCTTTGGGCATATTTATTTTGTAGTTTTCTGCAATTAATTCTGGAAAAAGGATGAAACCAGCCTATAGTGAACAGTTTTGTTGTGTAAACTGCTTACTTTTTTTCCGGTTAGCGTTTTTTTAGCGAGTTAGTTTTCTACAGGATGGGGTCGCTAACCGCTTGCCCAACCCTCTTCCCTTACCCGGGCTTAGGACCGGCAGTAACCCCCGGAGGGACTACAGGCGGAGTTTTTGTAAACTACTACGCATAGTTTGTTAACTGTTGAAATAAGCTTATAATTTAGTGAATGTCTAATCATTCCTTTTTCTTGCAGTTACTCATTTGTTGTATTTCTCTGTTTATTTGTCGTGTTATATTGTTTAATTTCTGCAATTTGTCATTTTAGACCAAATTTAAATTATATTCAATACTAAGGCTTTGAAGTATATTGTCTCTTCTTCATCTACAAAAATATAGTTTTAGTAAATATGAGAGTTTGTAAGTAACACAATAGAGGAACGATTATTTAGTGATTAAAATACTTGATTCTGAATTGTTGGGTTACGAACTCGTGCATTGCTCCACTCAATTTGGTTCGGGCACATCGGCAGCATCAATAATTTTCATACAAGAAATTGTGCCTAAAAGTTGAGTTCACAAACTCCTACTTGATTGTTTTTGACAGGATGCAAAATATTTGCTACTATATTTCCTATACTACTAAGTTGTATTTGTTTTAAGAGCTAGTTAAACTAATATGACTGCTCATGTTATACAATGGTATGTTTAGTTAAATTATAGCATTTTTCCCTCAGTGACGAAAGCATGTTTCTAATAAGTGGTTTTCAATGAAACTGATGTTAAAGAATAGTTAAAAAGCCATTCAATTATGCGAAATTTTGAAACATTGTGTACTTTGTGAGTAATATAGATTAGGTTCGATTTATTTATAGGATTATTATTAAACCTCTATCATTTCAGTTTTGAACGTTGGGTCTTATGCTTCATACAGAATATTCTTCTTATCACAGTATCTTTTCCATCATATCACTAACAATTTTGTTCAGTATTCAATGTTAAGTGGAGCAATCGCTTAGTGGTTACGGCGTTTAACGTTCGGCCACTGTCTCACGTTTGAACTCTTCGCCTACTTCGGTTTAAGCATAGGGGTAGTATCATTGACCCTCACACTTAGAGTGTGAGTTGTACCCAAATACCTGGTAAATGAGTTAATTTATTATTTTTTAATGTTTCTTATAACTCTGAATTTCAGCGGTGACACTAATAGTTCGAAATAAAAGTACTTGTGAGGTGACTTTTTAGATTTATTGAAATTGTTTTTAACTTTAGAAATTAAGTTAAAATTTCTTTTTTTATATCTTTTAAATATTTCCAGTCAATACGTTGGTATAGCAATTCGTAAGAGTCCTGTAGAAATATGGAAACTATCTACTTCTTCTTTAATAGTTAAACTACCTTTGCTACCGGATATAACGGCTGTTGCTTTGGTAATTCACATTTATGTTTGGAACATTTTAATTAGTCTTGCTGGTATTTTAGGACAATAATTATGTAGTCGATCATAATTCGTTTGTTTACTGATAGACAATAATATGCCTCAAGTGGCGTTCATTAAGACTCCACACCCCTCTATTTTAAAAAAATGATATGTTAATCTGAATCCCAACTTGAGGATTCACTTATCATCGACTTCAAGTATGCAGATGATGTATACAGTTTTTTTATAAAGCGCTGACAAAATTCAGTTTTATAAATCCCACAAGTAGCAATGCAAGATTGTTTACCTGTTGAAATAATCTCTTAGTTCTCTTAGGTGTTTTCATCAATGTGGTATAACCTTCAGTTGTTGACATGCACCTGTTATTTCATTCATTTCACCTTATTTTGATTTTGTCAAACAAATTATATCTTTAACACTTACAGAATAGTTCTATTTTTACAATTTAGTCACCAGATGTTGAACATACATCTTTAAGTTTCCAATTACATAGTTTTTTGTCATGTGTTTTGACAAAATTCATGATATTTATTTTATTCATTTCGTTTTTGTAGGACTGGTGTCATTCGCCAACGAAATATCAACGAAGTCGTAAGATTTCAGACAAGAGTTCTAAGTGGGTTCATTATGTAATATAAAAAAGGACTGGTTTTTCTGTGTTTTTTTATTTCAAAAGATTTAGCTGTTATATTAGCAAATACAAACCTTTAATATTGCATTCAATATACAGTTATTAAGTAATATTCGTGATTAATATTTTGTTAAACCGCATCAAAAGAACAATATAAGTGTACCCATTATGGTCAGGTTTAGGGTTAAGGTATTCTCATAATAAAAGACTAATATTTGAACGAAGAATATTCTTTTCGATAAATTCTCTTCAGGTTCTACAATTATATATCCAAATTAATAATCCGAAAAATGGCCAGGTTAAGGGCAAAGTACATCGTTTAAAGTATGTGAATTTAGGATTGTCAAACAATAACAACTGTCCAGTGCATCCAGGTTTGCGATGGTTGTCAAACTTAGATCAGCTAGTGATCTGAATATAAGTAATTTTTTTATGTAATAAAATGACATGGTTATGCATAAAATAAAACATGATGAATTGTTATCCATGGTTGGAGGAAATTAGTTTTTAGGTCACTCACTCCCCAAGTAATTAAGGCCTGATTGTTAGACCTAGTTTTTGAGCATCATGTCAGTATATTTAATTGTACAGTTTACTGATTTTCCTTGTCACAGCTTTTTTTAAAAACAAAATCTTATTAGGCTATCGGTTGCAGTATACAACAGGAGTAGTAGGGGAAAATGACATAACCGATAAGTACCATAAAGTTGCTAACAAAATGTATTTCGACTGTCTTTCTAATAGCCACTTTTTAGGGTATGTAGTACAAAGTTAATACATGGTAGACGCGAAAATGTACTTGTTCTTTCGAAGTGTGATTATTTCCCAGTAACATGCACTTGTACGTATGTGATTTTTGTGCAACATTGAAACTTACGGTCACTGAGATACACAAAATAAAAAAAGTCGGTTACTAGTCGATGTATGACTTTTCTGGTCATTGTATTCTCTAACGTTAATTGATCAGTCTACAATTGCATAGAAATTTGGATCAATTCATTTAGATGATATTTAGTTTAATGATCAGTTTTGGTTGCTAAGTATCACCTCTTTCATTGGTTTGAAATATTTTTTTTCTTCTAAGCAGTACATATACCAGGTTTATTTAGCAATTTTTAGTTACTGCTTATGTATTCATGAGTAAGAAATATAGTTCTAAACGTGTACGTTTTTCTTAAACAATATTTATCTTCCCATTCCTTTATTTAAAACATTTTTATTCGTTTTATATCTGTTAATTTAGATCTGAGGAATATGTTCATTCAAAAGAATCTGCTCGTACTCGTGAATCATGTATTATATGCACTTCGGATGGTAATATTCGCTTGATTGCAGTGAATAATGATTCAGTAGATAGCACTTCAGTTTCAAATACAATGTAAAATACATTATTTACTGATATATACTGTTAACAATGTTATGAATAGCCACTCAGGCTTTTCACTAGGTGTAACGTGTGTAATCGCAACCAAAGATATCAGTTTAAGCAATTATTAAATATTATTTAGGGTATTGGTACATAATTGTGTAAACGTCAACATAAGCTATCGTTAGAACAAATAAAATTAAAAAAATGTGAAATTATAGTTTCATAAATTAAATATTAAAATAAAAGATATAAATAAAATAAATAAAATCATTAGAAAGTGGATTATTAAAGGTATCACTGTATGTAAAAATACAACTAGAATATAGAATAGATGGAATGTGGTTAGCATTAAAATCCAGAACGTACGTTCCGTCCTATTTAGAACCCGTTATTTGGATATACCTGGATCCCGGAGTTGATATTTACTGAGGAACTTAAATTTTGTGCCATTCACTTCAAATGCCATTGCGTTATCCACTTAGCTGCTGAGTCCAGATAGCCAATCATAATAGCCACTCAACAACGCAATAATTCAAAACCATTTCAAATTTAATTAAACAACTAGAATATCATACCACATATATAGTCAGGGAGTATCCTGAAATCGGCGAGTCTTTATAATGTGTTATACGTGGGATTGTGTGTGCTCATGAGGTTGTCTACCATTATCTTATCTCTATAGATTTTATTCTTTATGTCCTTCAAAAATTTTTTGTGAGATAAAACACTACTCAGTAGTTGAATTCATGGATACGTATTTGACTATCAGTTGATTTATCACTAATTTCCAACCGGTGCCATGTTTTTCTAGGTCTTAGTGCCTGTTGAATTCAGTTGATCAAGATGCAGTTTAGTTAACGGTTTAAAAAACGTGATATCGCGTTCACTATGTTGAGATACCAGGTGGTTGGAAACAGAACAGTTTCCTATCGAATAACTCCATTAGCCTAACATTTGACTATATTGTAGGAATTGTCATTATCTCTGTTTAAAAACATTCTAAATATGTACGGCAGTTAATTAAAATTTTTGCCCTCTCGAGTTCGTCAATTGTGTGGTATGTTTACTTCACTCTGTCAAAAGTAAACCGTAAATTTGGATTATTTACATCATAGTTAAGTATTCGTTTGGACTGTACAATACATTTCGTTTATTTCAGATACTTTATCGTCCACTTTCTCGACGCCAATTTTTTTCTTAATAATACAATTTAATAAAGAACTCAGGGCAGCTCACATTTACATCCCAGGTGAAGACCGGTGTCAAACAAAGCTGCTTACTCTCTCACATTCTCTTTTATCTAGTAGTTGACTGAATTACATAAAACCCACATTTCAGGGCATGAATGGATTGCAATGGACAGCTCGAAATCAACTAGAAGAGTTGAACTTCGCAGATGATCTGGTCATTCTATCCCATACACACAAACAAATACAGACGAAGACAGCTAGTCTAGCAGTAGCTTCTGAAGTAATAGGCCTTAACATACACAAGGGGAAAACCAAGATCCTCAAATGCAACACGGAGAACAATCCAATCTCACTTGATGGAGAGGCTCTGGGAGATGTGAAATCTTTCATGTACCTGGGAAGTATCATCGATGAACAAGGATGATCCAATGCAGACGTAGACGTAAAGGCGAGGATCGGCAAAGCATGAACAGCATTCCTAAAGTTAAAGAAAATATAGATCTCAAAACAACTATCAGCTAACATCAAAGTCAGAATATTCAATATGAACGTCAAAACAGTTAGTTCTACTGCACGGAGCTGAAACCTGAAGAACTACTACAGCCATCATCAAAAAGGTATAAGTATTTATAAACAATTGTCTGAGTAAGATACTGAATGTCCATTGACTGGACACCATCAGCAACAGCCGACTATAGGGGAGAACACACCAACTTCCAACTGAGGAAGAAATTAAGAAAAGATGTTGGAAGTGGGTAAAACAAACATTGAGGAAATCATCAAGCTGAATCACGAGGCAAGCTCTGACTTGGAATCCTGAAGGGAAACAGAAAAGAGGAAGGCCAGAGAATACATTGTATCGGGAATTGGAAGTAAAAATGAAAAGGATGAAATAACAAGTGGAAAGGATTGCTCAGGACAGGGTTGGATGGAGTTTGTTGTTGGGCGGCCTATGTTCCTCCACGAGGGGTAATAAATGTAAGTAATTAGGTGGGTGCTATATTTGAAGATATTACGATACTACCTAAAACCGGCGAAGTAGACGAGTGTCAACAACACGACAATAGGACAAGCCAGGTTATTCCATTGCTCCCCTGCGCCCTAACTAGATGGAGAAAGCCAGATTCAACCAAGGGATATGTATATTCAACAAGCAGTCAGGAGCACGAATGAGCAGACACATAACTCAGGCGTATATCTACTGTACAAAAATGTTCTTGGTAAACTTCACAGAATAGCGTACTAAAAAAGGAAACGAATCAATGACATTTAAGGTCCTTCCAAGTGGAAACTACAAACTAGAGATAAAGTTGGCACTTTTGGCGCGAAAATGAGAAATTCAAATTTCCAAAATAAAATTACAAAAATGAGACGTTTAGCAAGTAATTACTGGGGATCTATCAACTCCAGCAAGGGGTAAGTAAGTAAGCAATCAGAAAACACATCAGTTAGTTATTATTTTTTAGTTTCAAATCATTTTACATTTAATATGGTTTATTATTATTTTAGTTTATCACATTATTGCGAACACATTTTCTACGTTTTTTATTTGTAAAATTATAGTTTAAACGGTCTACCAACTGTTAGTTTAAATCGAATTAATTCAGTCGCTTGGTTCTCTGATTTGGTTGCTTTTGGCACTTTAGATGGTTTTGTAGCTGTTCGAGATTTACATAGTAAAAGAACATTGTTTAGAACAACTTGTTCAAAGTCACAATCAAATTATTTTGATCAAGCCCTTGGTTCTTTTAATGAACAATATTTCGACCCAGATATAATGTTAGAAACAAATACTCCTGTTGTACATCCTTCATTGAATATTCGACGTTTATGTTTTACACCGGGTTTATCTACTTTTACTCGTCTTCTTAGTTTGCAGTTTGATTCCGTATGTGTTTGGGAACCAAGACAGGTAAGTTAGTCTACATGGTTTAATTTTCTTATCAGTTCATTATAACATGATTGATAAAATTTAATAAAAACGGACGAAAGAAAGGGTAGGTGAACGTATGAAATTGGGATAATAACTGACAACTACTTGAGTAGCATTAATTGGTAGCGATTTATTTTACAGAAAAAAGGCGAATAAAGGTAGTGGTGGAAAATATTTTGTTATTGTAGCTTTTATGCTAATATTCTCTATGTCCAAATGGTTTTTTAAAAACCACACCCGTTAGCTGAATAGTCGTTTTAATTCATCACGCAAGAATAAACAGTCCAGTTACTTTTTGTAAAGTAACGCGTACCTTGAAACAACTTTATTTTGTGTAGACTTTCAGCTTTCTTTTAGTCTCTTAAAAAGCGTTATTTCTGTAGAGCGTCTCCACTGAACTTCGTCTTATTTTCTTTCTTTGTCATCCTGTCATATGTGTGTATGGAGTTGAAATTTCGATTCCTTTTCTTAAAATTGGAATTGTCTTAGTTTTGCTTTCTTAATGTATGGTATATTATTGTGTGTGACGGCGACAAACTGTGAACTCATTGCTGTAAAGTAAAACTGAGCGTATCAGTGTTCTTATTTACCCCATATTTTAATTTTACTAACCAGGTAGACAGTACATATGTATTTATGATATACTTACCAATTAATAATCAAGCATAATCTTCTAATTGAAATTTTGTATTGTCTCCATGTATATTGTAAGCGTTTCTGTAGGGTTGAATTATATATTATAACACTCTATGCATGATTTTACATTTCTTACAGATGCTCCTTTTATGTATGATTGAATTCGGTGTATCAGTTCATCATTCCTTAATTTGTGCTGATTGGGTTTCTGTTGTTACTAAATTATCAGATAGAGCTTTGTGTATTCTTTTGGGTGGAGATGGTGCTTTACGACTTGTACAAGCTGGTCAAGCTAATTATGAAATGACAGTTGTTAATTATTCTAATCAGTCAGTAAACCTTGGGAATACAATTACTCGTGGAACTACTTTACATGATCCGATTTCAAAATTTTACATTCGAAGTCCATTGCCAGATAGACCTGACATTCAAGGTAATTAACCAATATGCTTAAATACTCATGATTTGTTTTCTTAAGAAAAACGATTTCAGACCTTTCATATTGAGTATTTCTAAGTACATTAAAACGCATAATCGTGAAACAAAATTAGTCAATCCTTTGTGACTAAAAACCCTAGAGTTTGCCACACTGTTACATACAGGTTCACATACTAATGTCGAAATCTATGGGTTATCAAACCAATACGTTAGTCGCTTATAAAAACGTAAGTATTATATTGGCAGAAAGTAAGGAAAAAAAATTATAAAGCTCGAAAAGCTATTTTTGGTGAATTAGTTAGTGTGTATTTGTCAAATAATTGGTTTATAATGTTTTTACAATCCTATTTTTTGACTTAGTAGTTGATATTATATCTCTGTATATTCATAAATTACAGTGAATTAACTTATTGCATATATTTCTTCATGTCAAAAATACCTTAGCTGACTCGTTATTCATAGTATGTTTTGCTCTCGCGTTTTAATTACTTACCCACGTGGTTCGTGGGTCTAAATTATATATACTTCCGATTAGCATTCCTTTGGATTTCTGATTTTCTTTTTGGAGGATTAGGAATACGTGGATTTTGTGTAGAGCTGTTGATGGTTACACGTACGGTATAGGTTTCAGTTAACTCCATTATTTTAGGTGGAAAATAAAACAGTATTTATATCGATGTTCGCTCAAGTTTTTTTAGTCCATGTTACACATGATGTTAAAGCGTATACTTTTCCCGCCTATATGATGTTTATTAAAGGGTTTATATTTTGAATTCCTTGGTTTTTCTCATATTTATAAACCCATACTAACCTTCAATAAGTCATGTGCTTACGTTGCAAGCAAGTACTTAAACTGATAGAATTATTTGTTCATCGACTGTATTTCATAGACCCACTCTTTATGTTTTTACCGTCGATTCTGTAACTAAGCGAATGTTGACTATCTATCAGGTCGTTTACATAGAGACGTAAGAACATAAAATACAATTATGGGCTTCTCGTTCAAGTTGTTACCTGTCACAACGATTTAAAATTACTGTCAACATTATGATGATAGTTATGAAAAATATCAGAGGGGGTTTTTGTGGACATTATAGTAATTTCAGTAGTTGAGATTATGAGGCAATTGAAGCTAGTTATAAAAATTCTGGTTAAAAAGGGAAGGCGAAAAAGTTTGTATCAGATTGGGCAGAGTTGTGGGTACGAATGCAACAAACAAATAGCATTATCATTTTTAAAAGTTGTTTATTTTCTCCAAAAGATCACCTCAATAATTACCCTTTTTCTGTATGGCTAACTCATCTACACACACACTGAACTTGGTAATTACAATTTAAACATAAGTGTATTCATCTATTTCAAAATGATAGGTGAAGGTTTGATAAAATTCTGTATTCACATAATCTAAACTGCATACATTAATAAAGTGTGTGGATATTACAAATAAATATGTTACCTAATGTAACGTTTTACGAAATAGAATCTAGGCAAACTTTGTCCATTTAGTTCTGTTATGTTTTCTTGTCTTTCGAGCTCAGTGTTCTATCTTCATTCGTAAGATCTTAACAATTTAGAGTGGTGAATTAATTATATGTTTTTTTATAGATAGGTCCAACTGTATCTTGTTTTTTCTTGAAGATTAAACAAGTCTTTGTTATTACAATTAGACTTGAAGTAGTAATATTAGTCTATCTTAACAGTTAGTTAAACTAATGACTGATTCATTTCATTGATTTACGTCTGGTTGTTGTTCTTTTTCAGGTTTATCTATTTCAACCATTATGATGAACAAATGTTTACTTTCGAACTAAGAAAGTTTATTTAAGCTTTGCGTAAATTTATTAATAAATTGTAAAACTCAACTCTTCATTTATGTTGTTAAATACATAAACTCGTTTATAAGCATCCCTGAACTTGTTCAATCTTTTTGATAATGAGCATTTATTTAGCTGTCTGAAACACAGTATTATTTTAGACGTTCTTTACATAAGTGTACATCTTAGCTTAGTATTTAAGTTGGTTTATTGTTATTAAAATTTGTATGTTTCTATTCATTTCTATGATAGTTCACTATAAAAAATGGTTGTGACTTAATGGTAATATCGAGGCGATTTACATAAAGCAAAGAAAGACTGTTTGGTTGTAGTCCTAAGCCATCAATAATAAGATTGAAACAACCAATACAAATAAATAGAAATTCACCCCATTGCACAAAACAGTGGCTATTTGGACTCTAATTAAATAGATAACACTACGGGGTTCGGAGTAAACGGTACTGGATTCGATTCTTGAAGTAAACATCAAATCGGTTACAGGTGTATTCAGCTAATGAATCTCAAACAGGATGAAATGTGCGTTCTGCATTCCACTGTTAGTCACCATCCAACTCCACTTAAAAGGTTCACTAAGAATTTTTGTTTAATCTAAGTTTGTTTACACTTAAAGTTTTACTTTTTCATTTTAGATCCTGTTTTAGTCCCGTCGTTACTTCCATCCATCACTGCCCTAAATATTCGACATCTCTTACAACATCAACCATGGTGTAAAAAGTCTCAAAATATCCCTTCGATTAAAAATGAGAATTTATTGATTGATATAGCTTCTAGTTCTCAAGCGTTAACATGCGATCAGACTACCATAGCTAATACTGAATCAGACCAAAGCTCTTATTCTAGTAGTGACTGTTCTCTGCTTGCTCCTGGTTTTGCAAAGATTCAGAATTCTGTAAATATATTCCTATATGGCCTCAAAACAAGGTATACTTGTGACCAAATTTTTCCGCATTTTCATTTTAATAAACTTTCATCTTATGTACATTTATTGCTGGATTAAGTAACAACTGATAATATGGTGATAGGTGGCCTTTTCATAGAATGTTTGACTTGATTTCTTCACATATACAATTAGTTGGACACGTTAATTGTTTTAATTACGGCAGCACTTACATGACCTCTGATATGCTGGTTACCGAAAGACCTATGTCACTCGCTACATTTTCTCTCCTGTAGTACGAACCAGATATTCACATATCGACGAACGAGGATACAGCACATAACATCTGTTGATCTTCTGTGCCATTAGTAATACCCAACGTTCAAGATATGTGACGTCAAAGCGTTTTTTTAAATTGGTGAAGTTCCAGTGGTAGTACTGGACATCAAGGTTTAAACAAATCATTTGATTCCACCATTGATATTTCCTCTTAGTACCTATGAGGTTAACTGGAGTTTATTAGAATGGTTTTCCATGTCTCAGAATACCTTATTGTGATTAGTCTTTTCTTATGTTACGATACGTAACAACGTTGTTTGGAGATTGTAAGTGTATGTTTTCTTTTGGTCTCTAGTTATTACCGTTCTGTGTCCATGCAGAGATTACAATTTGAATTAGTGTCTGCAATCTTTTGGACTTCATGCCCGTCGTCGTTTAGGACTTAACAACACGTTTTTGTACCTAGTTGAAATAAGATATTTTATTACACTTAGCCTATCTATAACACAATTATTCTACCAGTGTGTTCTTTTGTGATATAAAGTGACTGATGGCTGCGAAATGTGATATTTTATGCCAAATCTCTATACGTTACATGTGTTGAGTTTTGCTCCGGTTACAGTGTGGTAAGTTAGAAATTAGCCTACCAATAGGTTTTTATTGAAATTCAAGATTTATGGATACTTAGTTTGTAAGACGTCGATTAAAGTATAAACCATCAACACATGCATTACTTTTTATTATAGAATCATGGATTGTGACTAGTTTCTATCTATATTTTGTTCATTTATTTGTGGTACTAATTGTCTACATTTTTCAATTGACTTGAAGTATGATGGACCTTGTGATTTTGTTTGGAAAAGGCGTACAAGATTTAGTGATTTGTAGACATATTGTAAAGAAGTATAAAAATATTTCTGGTGTGATGAGCAAGAATTATGTAGAGTTTGAACTTGCCTACTAGTTGAGTCGTTTTGTTCTTATCAACTAATGTGGCTTTTGATTTCAACATTGTAAGTATACCCTAACAATGATAAACAGTGTGTCACTTAGATCGAAGCTGTTTAGTAAATTGAACTTCATACAAATTTTTTTAAACAATATCTCACACCAGTTTCTTTGTCCACTTACATTGTAGACATGAATTATCTACCAGTTTTATGAACCTGTCGAATACTACCATTATTGAACGTTGTTTATGGACTGCTCAATTATTTGGCGATGTATATGAAGTAAAATTTTGGCGATTGGTTGCAAATCGTTTACTATACAAAAAAGCTTTACATCATAATCCACAACAATTAAATAACCAGTTATGGTCTCGGTATTTTTTAGATTTATCTTGGGATTTTTTAGCTGACTGTGATTTATATCGTCAGAATGTTGAAAAGTTTATATCATATATGGAAAAGTCGCATAATTCACCTACTGAAATTATGGATTGTGTTAATACACTGATTATGGTCGGTAAGTATTAATTTGACTAAGGTTTCGGTTTCAGTAAACGTGGCAGCATAGATAGGTTTAGCGAAGCGTTTAGAGGTTTAGCTTATTGCCAGTAGTTGTCAGTTACACATTGATAATTGCTCCTATAAGAATATATTTATTATATTGTACCGAATCGTTATTTCCCTATTTTCACAATTACTGATCTACTATTTGACAACAGTAACTTGCTAGGTTTGAGAATGCATTGTCCATCAAAGTCTACTATCGCTCTGTCCACCTGACGGTTATTAGGAATTCCTTACATCTTTATTATTGTCGTTGGGATTTATTCTCTACCTATTATCCAGACAAAACGGGGTGTCGTAAGAGTCTTACTCATCTTTCCTTGATTCTACATGTTCGCAATTTGGTTTCTATGTTACTCAATATTTTTAAAGTTACCACTGTCCTCATCTCATAAGTTTTGTAGGAAGCCGCCTCTACGTGGGAAAAACAGACTGTCAACATTTAAGGACGATTGCATTTCTAATATTTATTAGCTACATCAGTATGTACTGCCAACAGACTTAAAGTGGTAAATTGACAACCATGTCCTATCTCTGCTATACGGTTGTGTTTTACGAATTTTGGTCTAATTTAATCTCCGTTTACTACAGTAGGTGCGTCATCCCTCAAATGCCCTGGTATGGCCGAGAGTGGGGGAGTCCGCCCTCCCTCTCGAAATGCTCTCACATGGCCACGCGTATATAACCTCTGCCAGGGAAGTCCTACTCACTGCCTTCTCGTAGTGGGGGTGTTGTTTACGGAATTGAGAGGACAAAAAGCGAATGTCCGGCACCTTAACCGGATCCCAAACCACTGGTGCACATGGACTCCAGTATCGTGCGGGAACAAATGGCGTATGAACCAATCGTCGGTCACCGGCTACCATGGGACTGCATCTCCTTACGATGCTCCACTGTCTTGTGGATCAGACCTTCAGGCCGAAGGCTCCGGGTGTGGTCCTCTAAGAAAACCACCTGCTTCGGTTTGGGCACCCGGGCAATATCACAGCCCTCACATAAATGAGATTTGTGTGGTGCATATGCATTTGGTGCCTCCTTGTACCAATATCTATGTGTAGGTGCGTCACTGTTCCATATAAAACGACTTCTTAGTAGAGGCGTATTTGCTTCGTGATAGAATTGTGCAAACCCTGTACTATATTTATAGCAGCTTTTCAAAACCCATATAAATGGTTTCATTTGCTATATATATATATATATATATATATATATTCAAGTTACAAACTTAAGCGACTACGTCCAGGTTTCCGATTGTACCCCATGTAAAGTGCCAATTACAAGTTTCCTAATGAGAATGGAATTCGTTGGGAACTTGATAATCCTAACACTAACAAACACTTGGATGAAATATCAGTTCTCTTAAATTTATTTACATTCATTTCATTCCTGCATTCATAAGTGAATTTTGCCCTCAACAATCCAACTTATCGTAAGTATCAGCATATGGTTATCAATTTATTTGTATTGGTGTTTTTGATTGCAATTAATTAGTCTTTTTTGGCATGTTTACATCCTGTGTAGATTACCTCGATAATGCCATTAAATCATAAGTCCTACAAGCAGCAATAGATGGTGACTAACAGGAGAATCCAGGACGCACGTTTCGTCCTATTTGTAATTCATCGACTGGATACATCCGCATCCGAGTAGATGTTCACTTCAAGACTCAAATCCAGTTACGTTTGCTCAAAACCCCGTAGTGATATCTATCTAATTGCTGAGTACAGATAGCCACTGGTTTATGCAACGGGGTGAATTTCTATTTATTTGTATTGGTTGTTTGGATCTTCCCGACTGCAATTAATCAGGGTTATGATTGTCGAATTTCATTGATATCTCAAACCGATTTAAGTTAGACAACCAATAAAATTCTGAAAACACAGGATGAACATTTCGTGCTAGTATGTGAGTCTTCGAAATCGCGCTTCCACGACCCCTGTAACTTCATGATGTTTAAATCACTAAAATTGCTCATTGGATAGTCTACAGTCAACATCTTAGTCTGAAATGGCTCGATGAACGTCACTCTAGATTGATGACTCTGCCATGACCATAAACTCGCTCGTTCGATCCTGATTGGTTTGGAAATATAGTTTAGCTTTATCAGTCTTGCTTTTTAAAAACCAAACTATTAATTATTACAATTATAATTTTAGTTATCTGCAATTTTATTATGATTGAAGTAACAATAATTAACTAATTTTAATTTAGGTCAACAGGATCGTGCAGTTTCTTTACTACTGGAAACACCTGCAGATTCAAGTAATTATTCTATAAATATGTATCGTGCTTGTTTGTTTACGGCAAATATTGCTAGAAAATCTCTTCTGTCCGAGTCTAGCGTAAATCAACCAGCAGAAGATAATTATTTAAGTGTAATAAAATTAGTTGCTACAAATTTACTTTCTAATGGAAAAATTAATGATGGTATTGGTTTATTGTGTCTTATTGGCTTACAAGTTGATGCATGCCGTTACTTAGAATCGTTCGATCGATGGGATCGTTCTGTATGGTTAGCTAAGGTAGTTATTTTATATATTTGATCATTTTCAACCGTATAATATTGACAGTTAATTTTATTGATACAATAATTCCTTCTGATGATAATTTCTGTCACAAACTTTTAATGTATTAACAATAAAAGGAGGATATTTTCCTACACTAACTTAAAAGTACTGAATACTGTCTTAGAAAACTGATCTAAATGAAGTTAGGTGATAAGTCTTTCATTAAAACAAATGTTTTGTGCCTCTAACACATACTAACCAATAATAAATCCGCTAATTTTAGCATTGTAATACGTTAACTCTTGACAGGATATGGAACATTCTCCAGAACAATCGTCAGAACATCGGAAAAATTATTATTAGGCGAGACTAGTATTTATGGATGAACAAATCAGATTTAAGATAAATGATCTTGAATTTTGGAGCAAAATTCATTAACTCATTTGGCTAAATACCATTTTGGCATTCTAGCTAATGTTAATTCATGATGAAAACATTAAATTTAATTCATAACCCTAACATTCAACTACAAATTCTAATCCTAATTCCTCACACCAATATATAACCCTCATTTAACCCTGGTAAGTGTACATTCCAAGGTCATTTTAGTGTTGTTCAAAGGTCCTCCATAAATTGTAGTCTTACCTACAACTACTAATAAATGACGAATTTCAACAAACAAACAAACAATGTTTGTTATATAAAATCTAAACAAACAGATTTATAATTAACTGTAATTTCTAAATATCAAGATATATTGTAACAGTTAATAAGTCAAATGTAATGGGAATATTATGAATTAGTTATTTAATAAATACACCATTAAAAACTATGTACTAAGTGATATCTATTGAACAATAACTTTCAAAAAGTTTCACATTTTTACTAATTTCTTTGTTCCTTAACAAAATACCTGTACATGAACTCTGATTCTTTCTTGGTTTGTTTTTTTTTCGTTGACATTATTTAGTATTGATAACTATGTCCGAATGTTTGTCTTAGATTACGTTTTCTATTCCTGGCTATTATTTCATCTAGTTCATATTATTATACATTAAGTTATACGTTTTATTGTAAGGAGTTATTGAATTAATAAGATGAAAATCAATTTTTTATAGATTCTGAAATGGATAGTGGGTATTTTGTTCGAGTCCAGTTGCGATAGTTCACTTAATGTCATTGTCTTAAAATATTGGGCTCGGTGGATTGAACATGTATTATGAATATCATCACGACTTTACGACTGGGTGGAAAAAGCGAAGAGGTGGAGAGTTTATGAAATGGCACTGGGATATGATAGAAAGCTGTGTAAGACTTGTGTCTGTTAATTCATCACCACTCTCTGGCTGAGATCCTAGAGATGAGGAAACTCAGCAGTGATGTTATCGTAGTTCTTTTTACAATCATCATAAAAGTAAGAGGAACTCTCTTAGCTAAAAATATTTCTTATAGTTTTGTTTCCAACTGAACTATATCTCCTATCATGTATCGTTCTCGTTCACTGATCTATTTGGTTGTACACCCTTCTTCTTCCCTATTCGTCCACAATCTTATCGTCGTATTTGGGTGCCACTTTTTACTGTTGTTGGCACCCAGTTGTACCAGAAGATATGTATATTGAATAAAATAGAATACTATATTTATTACTTGCTTATCACTAGACTATCATTTTTTAATTATCGTGTTCCTTTTTTAGTGTCCTCCATCATTTACTGTTCTCACTTCCTCCTGCTTTTTTTCAGTGTACATTATCAATTGAAGAACATGATAAAGTGATGAGACGTTGGGCGTCCTATTTAGCTTCATCTCAGGTTAATCGAAAAGTATGTCCAGATTTGTTTTCAATTATTTTCCCTTCTGTTTTTTATATTTGAGTGTCGAAAATTATTTGTTTTCACTAAAACACTTTTTCAACTGTTTGTTTTCTCCGGATATTCAAATATTTGTTCTCATATTTTAATATAGGACGATAAACAAAACAGCACGTGCCTAGACATCATTATCTTTTCCTAATATTTGGTTCAGTAGAATTACAAGTATTATAAATGTATGTTGGTGATAGTTAACTCGGAATGTTGAAACACTAAATAACTTATTTGGTATTAGCATAATATATACGTAAATACTTTAGATTCGACATGTTTGCTTGTGTATATCAAACATTCCTCTCCAGGACTACATTTACCCCCATTTGTATTCACAGTTTGGAAGTACTAATTGATCAAATACAATATTCAGTTCATTATTCTTATTTTTTCCTACTTATATCGCTTAATATTGGTCTACGTTTTCAGTAAGGGGCTATATGCTCGTATAGCTGAATCAAGCTCTAAGTTGTATGAATCATTATAAGTGTAACTAAACTTGAAAAATATACGTCTTATACTATTAAAATTAAGTAAATATCACCTTCGTCTATTTATATTTCATTGATAATCACCAACCTAGAGTTATGATGATACGTAGTAATGTAGTATACGCTCTTTGTTTACTTCCTCTAACTATTCGGAGTTATTTCAAAAGAAAACAAACAACTTACTGTCACTTCATATGTATGTTTAATTGTTATTTACGTGTCGTAAATAGTGTTTTTATCTGCTAGTAAATCATTAATAAAACTTGATTGACAGTTATTATTCACGAATTATTTCGTCATCAATATATTCGCTCATCACCTTCATGATTCTTAATTGGTTGATTTTTCATGCAATAGTTTACTGCTTATTCATCGGTTGAAGGATGACTGAATGTCAAGAGATAGTTCTTGCTTTTATCTATTAAGAATCACATTTTTAAAATCTAATCTTGAGTCTATATCTTTCGAATTCTTTTGTGTACTTTACAACCATAATCTTTTCTGTAAGTAGAGTCTCCTTCTAAATTTGAAACTGTAACTAATGATTTGAAAAAATTACGATGATTATTACAAGCACTTTTTTTAGATTTTCAACTTCAATATTTCAAGTGATCAACATCAGTTCAACACTTAAATGTTTTTACTCTGAACCTATTGCATCTTCGCCTGTGTAACACGAATATAAATACAATCTCCTACTCAATATCAATAATCATTGCAATCATACGTTATACTACATTTTTCTTACTATCACGCTCCAATCTTATTGCACTGTTACAAATCACTGTGATTTAGGTCAGTCTATGTCTATTAGCTATCTGTAATCTATAGTCCATTGAACAAAATTGTTATGATTATAATAATTACCTTTCTATAACTTACTGTTTATATTTTCAATGTTTATAGTAACAATAATATGACTATTTTGTTTTTTCTTTCTTTCCTTTTTTTAAATAAAACATCTTAAAGGATTCAGCTATACTCATTTATGTTTATTTAGAAGATCATTTTAATGTCTTAAAGTTACTTTTTAATCTTAAACAATATCAGTTGGCAGCTAGATACCTGGAAGCATGCCGTGAATTAAACTTATTGAATACAACTAAAGAAGCAGGTAAGTATTTTGTCTTTTTTGTTTTAATAAATTGGGATTATTATTATTCTCTCTCATATAGAGATTTCGTTTAAAAAATCTTTTCTTATTTGTTTGGTGCATGTGTAATCAAGGAATTAAGCTTGTGATGAACAGTGTTTGTTCAAAAAAATAACATCCAGTTGTTTAAATTTCACTTACTCAATTAACAATGAAATTTTAGACTTGTATTATTCAATTCAAATGATAAATGGTAAGAATATGTATTATATATTTTAAATCTGTACACATAGTTGGTGTAAGTTATAAACCTTTTAATCTGTCTAATCAATTACATAACTTCTTACTTAGTTTAAAAAGTATGAAGACTTTAATTTGATGAATTGTTATACCACTGCATTCGCCTGTTTAATATTAGTTTTCGTTTTATTTTTATTTAAGAGAGGAGAAATTCAAGATCGTTTATGTGTTGTAAAACATTTCATATTGTTCTATATATTAAACTGTGTAATCTGATCTATTTTAGCATGTTTTGATAGATTAGTATTTGACATTAATTTTGATCTTCTTGTTATCAAAGTGAAGTTGTTTTATTAGAATGATTTTTGAATCACTATGTTAAAGAAAATAGTTGGTATCCTAAAAGCACGACAAAGCTGCCAGAGAATCTAAGGGATTCCGTCAAATCAGAACCCAATAGAACCTTCTGGGATATCAACGTGGCATACTAAGATTGAACAGTAGCATAACTTACCTCTTTTCGGATTGGTTGAATTGTGATGATGTTATAACAAACGCTAATATCTATAAATACCCATGATTTCCTGTACATTTTGATTCTTATCCAGCAAACACTTCTTCAGCCTTCTGTCTTCTGATTTTAAGACTGGGGTTCTAAACTTTCGAGTGCCGTAGTTGCATACCGTATTCTGCGTTAATCAAGTGGTGAACATAACAAAGTATAAAATAAGTTATGATTTTCGGTACTTTATGCTGATATCATGAACTATGTTCGCATTTCTTGATATTCACTAGTGTGAAAGGATTCTAACTGTGGAAGTCAACACAAAATTGATTTTGATTTGAGAGTTTATATATGTATATAATTATGATACTATAATTTTCAGATTTGCCAATATCATATTTATTACATAATTAACATTTTATATGTCACAATATTTACCATAATAAATTGATAGTAAGAATAATTCTGTACTGATTAATATTTCCGTTACATTTTTAAAAAAATATAGAATCATTTTACGAGTCAATATTTTTGGAATTCGGTTCATTTCTAATAAAACTTGGTCATCATGAAGCTGCTATGTATTATTGTAATTTAGCTGGAAAAATAGCTGATTCATTAAAAGAAGAAATAGATTTTCTTTTGTCGTAGAATAAACCTTAAACTGACAATAACATTCATCATCATTTTTGAACTTCATGATGATGATAAGAAACCAAACAATTTTTTCCATTTCCTTAAACTCATATTTTCTTTTCTGTTCATTCCTCATTTATTTTAACCAAAAAATACGAGTGGATATTGTTGACTGTGATAGATAGAACTATATATAATAAATTATTTGACTTGACTAATATTATATTCCGTTTTGCACCTTTTTTGTATTTTTTTTTACTTGCCAGTATATATGTATGTGTGTGCGGATAAAACTATTTTTCACTTTTTTTTTGTATTTCTGTTTTGTTTTTTTCAAAAAGTGTATTCTCAACTTTCCTGCCAACATTTCAATTTTGTTGTTTTGAATTTTGGTTGTATCGTTGTTTTTCTTCTGTTTTCTATTTGTTTATATATTTTAAAAGAGAAAGAGGAAATAATCATTTCTATGTGTGATTTTCGTTAGTATTCTTTATTCGACTTTTTGTATTCAATTTATCGATATAACTGTTATCGTATGAAGTGTGACGTCGAACACCATAAGTTGTTTGAAGTTAAACACGTAGACCGTCGGTTGTTGTCTCAGTAGTTTAAAGACTAAGCACTCCCTGCCAATTTTGATGATTGTAGTTTCGATCCTGTAAAGAGTTTTTAGATGCGCACTATTTTTGAGGAGTCTCATATTCAACAAATCAGTTATCCACTACTTCCTAGTTCTGTGTTCTTGTCTTACTTAAGCCGGTTCTTATTTCCAATAAACTTTTGGATTAGTTTTTTTTCTCATTCCCATCGTTAGTTATGATTTGTATTTCAATTCAAGTTCGATACTAGATGACAGCATGAACCATAAATTTTTCAATCATCTAATAAATTTCTCATATTCTATGACCATGATATTAACAGTTAGGGACTGAGATTAATCAAAACGGTTTTGAGGAACTTAATTTATCACCCAATCACCAACAAAAGTGGTTGAAATTATACTCAATGAAATCTCGTTCTGTCCATAGTTGAGTTGAGTGTTTTATTATTTTGTTCTTTTTTAATAATATAAGGATGCAAATTCTACTGATATCAACTAACATTACTAAATTTGTCAAACTGAAGTGTTATCATGTTTAGTCATGTCGTGTAGATCTAGTTTGGGCTTTGAACTGAAGACAGAGGTTTTATTTATTAGTTAATCTTTGAATTGCTAGAGTTAGATGTATAAACCACTTGGTGATGACATTTTTTGTATTTTCACAGCATCGGTTTCATTGATCTAAATGTTGACATTAAGTGTTTGATATGAAGTAAGCAAATATTTTAATTATTTGTGGATTTATTTATTATTAGAATATGAGCTTTCGTTACCTCAAATAGTTTCAATACTTGTTGCTTGTAAGATATTTTTCTAGTGAAATACGAATTTGAGAAACTGATTGGTTTTTATCATCACCTTACATAGAATAATATCTCTAGTACGTCTTTAATTATAAAATCTCAGAAACGTAGATTTTATTAAAGGATCTAATTTCCGTAATTGATACTTTATCTATTATCCTTGTCTTTCTTTGGTGTGGTCGTTACGAATGCGCACCGAAGATCAAACTAGTGATTATGCTCAGAACTTTTGGGTACATTCAGACCACTAAGTTGGCTTTCAGCAGTTTACATTACTAGCTTCAATTGATCCTATATATTACTCAGCCATCGTCCAATGTCATCGCTAGGTAACTGCATATTAGTGCAACCTGGTTTACAATAGTTGTTTAAATAGGCTCATTGCATGATGTAAAATACGAAATTCTACTATCTCCACAAATCCCTTATACAAGTTTGAGAGTTTATGAGACTGCATCATCATTGATGCCTACACTCTGGGTCATAATTTAGTTCTTTGCGTTATGCTACTTTTCATTAAATAGTAGTTTGAAATGTAATCAATTATTTACTTAGTCTTTTCCGCAACTAGTGTTATCTCAGGATTACAACGAATCAATTTTTCATCTGTTAGTGTTTTTATTGAAAGATCTATCTGTTTCCTGAGGGTAGTGCCTAGTTTATTTTCGCTAATTATATTCTTGTTTGAAATGGAGATGTGACTGGTGATTTGTTGTAAATGCTGTGAAGTTTTTCAATCTGAACTATTCACTGACGGTGTTTCAGATCTAAGCATCTTTCAAAACTAAGAAGACGTAAGTTACAATGAATGTTATCCAATGTTATTTTCTAGAATATAAGATAATGAAATCATGCTGTGTTAGCTAACCTCCCAGATAATATTTAGAATAAGACATTAAAGTGAACAAACAGCGTTAAAAGAAATTTAACAACAGTTTATACATTCGCTTACTATCCTATCCAAATAAGTTTTTCGGTTAGTTAACTATAATCTGTACATACATTCAAGTCATAGTTGACTTAGATCCGGTGGAATAGATTTTTATCCCATTTAATTCATTACAATAGGGACAGTGTAAATTGTAATGACATATAAAGTATATTACAAAAACTTGTTTATTTATTGAATTGTATTATAATCATAACTGTTTATTTGCTTACGTTTTATTGTTTAGATGTGAATACTATTTATATCCCTGATTTCATTAACACGCTGTTGTCAAGTCTATGAAATATTTGAGAAATTAAATGATGCATAACTTATAAGTGATGTGTCAAAACATTGTTTGTTCTTTGATTTGACTGTACATTACACTGTACATTTAGACTTCTATGGTTAAGTATAAATATTTAGGTGAATTATAAATAGTTCGGTTTTATGATTTTGAAAAAGCAAATTTAATTAAAGAACTGATAAGAATTCGAATAGATAAATAGTATTGACAGTTAAAGAAAAAGGAAAATATTGATGGGTGGCCAACTGTTGGCTATCAATCTCCTATACAATGTGAATCGATGCATAAACATTTTAACAGTTTAAATTTACATTTGTCATAAATTGTAATGTTTCATTTTATGTCAATATACTGATATTTAGTATAAGAAAGTTAACTTATTGACTATAAAAATGTATACTTATTTTGGTTTTTGTGTTTATGAGATATTAATTCATAATGAATTAAAAAAGAAATACAACTTTTGTGTTATGTTTTATTACTGAGTAAAGTGAAGTCTTGTTAGCATTCAGAAAATCCACTCCATTATTCTGTAGCGTTCGTTTTGAAATTGATTTGGACCGTTGCGCACATTTATTGACTTTTATTACTTCCCTAAATATTTGTATTCTGGATACATTTTTCCAAGTTCAAAGCATCATGCATAGGCGATGTACATCTGTGCGAATGAATTTATTAAATGTCATTGAAAAGTCTAACCTATTGGTCACCATCTAGTACTTGAGTTTCGGAAGCATTTTTGTTAATTACTCAACTATTGTTTAATTAAAATATAGTTATGATAAAACATTTTACCGACTCGTAAATGTGAAGCCGATGATCTTTTATGGTTACTTTAAATTGATCAATAAATTACTTGATTTTATTATTTCATAATTATGAGCCTCTTCTCTAATCTTCTAAACGTTATCTAAGTTTTAAATAAGCATTAAAAATTTGACCTATTCAAGTGAGATATAATGGTCAACATTGAAAGCTGTAGCCCACCAATAAATGATAGAACTGTGTTTAAATCTAGAAAGTATCCATCACTCAGCAATTTAGATCTAAGTTCTTATCAATATTAATAAATTAATTAAAAGGATTTTAGACTGGTGCTCTAACATTTAATGAAGTAGTCTTGAAACATTTCAAGTTCCATGAAGTTCATTGATTTTAATCAAATCAAAATGGTTAGTTTAAAATACAATAGGCTTACTATTAAGTTTGTTGCTTCATGAATAGTTTTTTAAAACTATCTATGGTAATCTAGATGTAAAAATTTCTGAAAACTAAAACAGTGATCCAGCATATACAACGGGAAAACCAGGGTCCTCAAATTCAAAGCGGAGAACAGCAACCCAATCACTCTTGATGGCGAAACTCTGGAAGATGTAGAATTCTTCACATACCTGGAAAGCATCATCGATGAACAAGGAGGCTCAAATGAAGACATAAAGTGGAGGATTGGCAAAGCAAGGGTCGCATTTGGCAAGGGCGGCCTGCTTGATCATCTGGGCAACCTGTTCCTGCCATCTAGATATTTCAACAAGTTATCTATTTTTGTTTGTTTTAATATATCACTATGTTTATTAATCGCATAACCTATTCTGCTGCGTTTCTGAAAAGTGTACAACCTTTCGTTGTCAAAGTTACAAGAAACTCAATAAGAGACAATGTGGTTGCTGGCAATATACAACGGAAAGAATGCACATTATTCAGATGTTCATATAGTGAACTGCTAACATCTAACTGGCGGTCACTCAATATTTATCGCCAGGACCAACCAAGAAGAAAGAAACGGAAACTTGTTGAAATACATTACGCTGAGAATTCTATATTGTACCAAAAATATAATATTGAATAAAGCTGATAATAATAATAATAATAATAATAATAATAATAATAAAAATTTAATTCCTACAATTGAAGAACATATGGAACTCAAAACAACTTTCAACCAATATCAAAGTGAGAATCTTCAATACGAACGTCAAGGCAGTTCTACTGTACAAGTATTTATAAATAGCTGTCTGCGCAAGAAACTCAACATCCATTGGCCGGATACCATGAGCAACAACCTTTTGTGGGAGAGAACAAACCAGCTTCGAGCTTAAGAGGAAATCAGGAAAAGACGATGGAAATGAATAGGACATACACTACGCAAACCGTCAAACGGCATCACGAGACAAGCCCTAACTTGGAATCCTGAAGGAAGGCGGAAAAGAGGAAGGCCAAAGAACACATTACGTCGGGAAATAAAAGCAGGTATGGAAAGGATGAATAACAACTGGAAGGAGCTGGAAAGGATTGCCCAGGACAGGATTGGATGGCGAATGCTGGTGAGCGGCCTATGTTCCTTCGCGAGGAGTAACAGGCGTAAGTAAGTAAAACAGTGATCCAGAATAATCTAATTTAAAGAATCATTTTGTTTTATTTTAATATATTTTTTCTGACACCTATCTTTAGACTAACGTTAGTCTTATACTTAGTACAATATATATCCAGAATATTGTGCAATATTTATTTTATATGCACTACGTTCCATTTAAAAATGTTTCGGCGAGACTATAATTTATGGACGAGCCAATTAGATTTAGAATAATAGGTCTCATATTTTGGCACGAAATTCACTCATCCAATTGGCTCAATAGCGTTTTGGCCTTTGTGATGAAAACCCTAAATCTAAATCCTAACCTTAACCATCAACTGTGAATCATAATTCTAATTCACCACACTAGTTTATAACCCTCATTGAACACTAGTAAGTAGATGGACGTCCTCAAGGTTACTTTAGCGTCGCTCAAAGGTCGTCCATAAATCGTAGTCTCATCAATGTTTTTTCCTTTTATCTTGTAGTCATTTTTAAAAAAAGGATTTGACATTATGATATTTTAATTTGTGTTCCTATCACTATTCAATCCGTTTGTTAGAAGGAATTTTCAACATTTACTTAATTAAACCAACTGCATATGATCAAAACATTTTGGCTTTGTGTTGGCGTTTAAGTTATACAAATATAGCTAGTTTACAGTCAAACTGACCACAAACAGGCGGTTACATGGGATTTCAACCTGGTTTTATGTCTCAAGTAATATACTTTGACTATGGAGTAAATCCACATCTTCGTGCTACAAAAAATCGCATAGTATAATTGGTTTCAAAATATTGAGGGGTCACATATACACTATGGAAGACGTAATAATGTTTAATACTAACATTGCAAATGCA